TGCGTGCCGTGCCATGCGTGCCGTGCCATGCGTGCCGTGCCATGCGTGCCGTGCCATGCGTGCCGTGCCATGCGTTGCACGTGCCATGCGTGCCGTGCATGCGTGCCGTGCCATGCGTGCCGTGCCATGCGTGCGTGCCCTGCGTGCCGTGCCATGCGTGCCTGTGCCATGCGTGGCCGTGCCATGCGTGCCGTGCCATGCGTGCAGTGCCAATGCGTGCGTGCCCCGTGCCATGCGTGCCGGGCCATGGCGTGCCCGTGGCCATGCGTGCCGTGGGCCATGCGTGCCGTGCCATGCGTGCCGGGGGCCATGCCGTTCCGTGCCATGCGTGCCGTGCCATGCGTGCCGTGCCATGCGTGCCGTGCCATGCGTGCCCCGTGCCACATGCGTGCCGTGCCATGCGTGCCGTTGCAATGCCCATGCGTGCCGTGCCATGCGTGCCGTGGCCATGCGTGCCGTGCCATGCGTGCCGTGCAATGCGTGCCGTGGCCATGCGTGCCGTGGCCATGGCGTGCCGTGCCCATGCCGTGCCGTGCCAATGCGTGCCCGTGCCATGCGTGCCGTGCCATGCGTGCCCGTGCCATGCGTGCCGTGTCCATGGGCGTGCCGTGCCAATGCGTGCCGTGCCATGCGTGCGTCATGCGTGCCCAAATGCGTGACGTGCCATGCGTGCCGTGCCATGCGTGCCGTGCCATGCGTGCCGTGCCATGCGTGCCATGCCCGTGAGCCATGCGTGCCGTGCCATGCGTGCCGTGCCATGCGTGCCGTGCCATGCGTGCCGGGCCATGCGTGCCGTGCCATGCGTGCCGTGCCATGCGTGCCGTGCCATGCGTGCCGTGCCATGCGTGCCGTGCCCATGCGTGCCGTGCCATGCGTGCCGTGCCATGCGTGCCGTGCCATGCGTGCCGTGCCATGCGTGCCGTGCCATCGTGCCGTGCCATGCGTGCCGTGCCAGTGCCGTGCCGTGCCATGCGTGCCGTGCCATGCTGGCCGTGCCATGCGTGCCGTGCCATGCGTGCCGTGCCATGCGTGCCGTGCCATGCGTGCCGTGCCATGCGTGCCGTGCCATGCGTGCCGTGCCATGCGTGCCGTGCCATGCGTGCCGTGCCATGCGTGCCGTGCCATGCGTGCCGTGCCATGCGTGCCGGGCCATGCGTGCCGTGCCATGCGTGCCGTGCCATGCGTGCCGTGCCATGCGTGCCGTGCCATGCGTGCCGTGCCATGCGTGCCGTGCCATGCGTGCCGTGCCATGCGTGCCGTGCCATGCGTGCCGTGCCATGCGTGCCGTGCCATGCGTGCCGTGCCATGCGTGCCGTGCCATGCGTGCCGTGCCATGCGTGCCGTGCCATGCGTGCCGTGCCATGCGTGCCGTGCCATGCGTGCCGTGCCATGCGTGCCGTGCCATGCGTGCCGTGCCATGCGTGCCGTGCCATGCGTGCCGTGCCATGCGTGCCGTGCCATGCGTGCCGTGCCATGCGTGCCGTGCCATGCGTGCCGTGCCATGCGTGCCGTGCCATGCGTGCCGTGCCATGCGTGCCGTGCCATGCGTGCCGTGCCATGCGTGCCGTGCCATGCGTGCCGTGCCATGCGTGCCGTGCCATGCGTGCCGTGCCATGCGTGCCGTGCCATGCGTGCCGTGCCATGCGTGCCGTGCCATGCGTGCCGTGCCATGCGTGCCGTGCCATGCGTGCCGTGCCATGCGTGCCGTGCCATGCGTGCCGTGCCATGCGTGCCGTGCCATGCGTGCCGTGCCATGCGTGCCGTGCCATGCGTGCCGTGCCATGCGTGCCGTGCCATGCGTGCCGTGCCATGCGTGCCGTGCCATGCGTGCCGTGCCATGCGTGCCGTGCCATGCGTGCCGTGCCATGCGTGCCGTGCCATGCGTGCCGTGCCATGCGTGCCGTGCCATGCGTGCCGTGCCATGCGTGCCGTGCCATGCGTGCCGTGCCATGCGTGCCGTGCCATGCGTGCCGTGCCATGCGTGCCGTGCCATGCGTGCCGTGCCATGCGTGCCGTGCCATGCGTGCCGTGCCATGCGTGCCGTGCCATGCGTGCCGTGCCATGCGTGCCGTGCCATGCGTGCCGTGCCATGCGTGCCGTGCCATGCGTGCCGTGCCATGCGTGCCGTGCCATGCGTGCCGTGCCATGCGTGCCGTGCCATGCGTGCCGTGCCATGCGTGCCGTGCCATGCGTGCCGTGCCATGCGTGCCGTGCCATGCGTGCCGTGCCATGCGTGCCGTGCCATGCGTGCCGTGCCATGCGTGCCGTGCCATGCGTGCCGTGCCATGCGTGCCGTGCCATGCGTGCCGTGGCCATGCGTCGCCGTGCCATGCGTGCCGTGCCATGCGTGCCGTGCATGCGTGCCGTGCCATGCGTGCCGTGCCATGCGTGCCGTGCCATGCGTGCCGTGCCATGCGTGCCGTGCCATGCGTGCCGTGCCATGCGTGCCGTGCCATGCGTGCCGTGCCATGCGTGCCGTGCCATGCGTGCCGTGCCATGCGTGCCGTGCCATGCGTGCCGTGCCGATGCGTGCCGTGCCATGCGTGCCGTGCCATGCGTGCCGTGCCATGCGTGCCGTGCCATGCGTGCCGTGCCATGCGTGCCGTGCCATGCGTGCCGTGCCATGGCGTGCCGTGCCATGCGTGCCGTGCCATGCGTGCCGTGGCCATGCGTGCCCGTGCCATGCGTGCCGTGCCATGCGTGCCGTGCCATGCGTGCCGTGCCATGCGTGCCGTGCCATGCGTGCCGTGCCATGCGTGCCGTGCCATGCGTGCCGTGCCGTGCCATGCGTGCCGTGCCATGCCGTGCCATGCGTGCCGTGCCATGCGTGCCGTGCCATGCGTGCCGTGCATGCGTATGCCGTGCCATGCGTGCCGTGCCATGCGTGCCCGTGCCGATGCGGTGCCGTGCCATGCGTGCCGTGCCATGCGTGCCGTGATGCCATGCGTGCCGTGCCATGCGTGCCGTGCGCATGCGTGCCGTTGCCATGCGTGGCCGTGCCATGGCGTGCCGTGCCATGCGTGACCGTTGCCATGCGTGCCGTGCTCATGCGTGCCGTGCCGATGCGTTGGCCGTGCCCATGCGTGCCGTGCCATGCGTGCCGATGCCCATGCGTGCCCGTGCCATGCGTGCCGTGCCATGCGTAGCGGCCCCGTGCCATGCGTGCCGTGCCATGCGTGCCCGTGGCCATGCGTGCCGTGCCATGCGTGCCCGTGCCATGCGTGCCGTGCCCATGCGTGCCGTGCCCGTGCCATGGCGTGCCCGTGCCGATGCGTGCCGTGCCATGCGTGCCGTGCCCGTGACGTGCCAATGCGTGCCGTGCCATGCAAGTAGAAGTGCAATGCGTGCCGTGCCATGCGTGCCGTGCCATGCGTGCCGTGCCATGCGTGCCGTGCCATGCGTGCCGTGCCATGCGTGCCGTGCCATGCGTGCCGTGCCATGCGTGCCGTGCCATGCGTGCCGTGCCATGCGTGCCGTGCCATGCGTGCCGTGCCATGCGTGCCGTGCCATGCGTGCCGTGCCATGCGTGCCGTGCCATGCGTGCCGTGCCATGCGTGCCGTGCCATGCGTGCCGTGCCATGCGTGCCGTGCCATGCGTGCCGTGCCATGCGTGCCGTGCCATGCGTGCCGTGCCATGCGTGCCGTGCCATGCGTGCCGTGCCATGCGTGCCGTGCCATGCGTGCCGTGCCATGCGTGCCGTGCCATGCGTGCCGTGCCATGCGTGCCGTGCCATGCGTGCCGTGCCATGCGTGCCGTGCCATGCGTGCCGTGCCATGCGTGCCGTGCCATGCGTGCCGTGCCATGCGTGCCGTGCCATGCGTGCCGTGCCATGCGTGCCGTGCCATGCGTGCCGTGCCATGCGTGCCGTGCCATGCGTGCCGTGCCATGCGTGCCGTGCCATGCGTGCCGTGCCATGCGTGCCGTGCCATGCGTGCCGTGCCATGCGTGCCGTGCCATGCGTGCCGTGCCATGCGTGCCGTGCCATGCGTGCCGTGCCATGCGTGCCGTGCCATGCGTGCCGTGCCATGCGTGCCGTGCCATGCGTGCCGTGCCATGCGTGCCGTGCCATGCGTGCCGTGCCATGCGTGCCGTGCCATGCGTGCCGTGCCATGCGTGCCGTGCCATGCGTGCCGTGCCATGCGTGCCGTGCCATGCGTGCCGTGCCATGCGTGCCGTGCCATGCGTGCCGTGCCATGCGTGCCGTGCCATGCGTGCCGTGCCATGCGTGCCGTGCCATGCGTGCCGTGCCATGCGTGCCGTGCCATGCGTGCCGTGCCATGCGTGCCGTGCCATGCGTGCCGTGCCATGCGTGCCGTGCCATGCGTGCCGTGCCATGCGTGCCGTGCCATGCGTGCCGTGCCATGCGTGCCGTGCCATGCGTGCCGTGCCATGCGTGCCGTGCCATGCGTGCCGTGCCATGCGTGCCGTGCCATGCGTGCCGTGCCATGCGTGCCGTGCCATGCGTGCCGTGCCATGCGTGCCGTGCCATGCGTGCCGTGCCATGCGTGCCGTGCCATGCGTGCCGTGCCATGCGTGCCGTGCCATGCGTGCCGTGCCATGCGTGCCGTGCCATGCGTGCCGTGCCATGCGTGCCGTGCCATGCGTGCCGTGCCATGCGTGCCGTGCCATGCGTGCCGTGCCATGCGTGCCGTGCCATGCGTGCCGTGCCATGCGTGCCGTGCCATGCGTGCCGTGCCATGCGTGCCGTGCCATGCGTGCCGTGCCATGCGTGCCGTGCCATGCGTGCCGTGCCATGCGTGCCGTGCCATGCGTGCCGTGCCATGCGTGCCGTGCCATGCGTGCCGTGCCATGCGTGCCCTGCCATGCGTTCTTTCCCTATATCTGCGCACTTGCGTTTCCATATGAACTCACCGCCGCTCTTCTCACTTTTTCTCCCTCCCTTCCTCTCCCCCGCCTTTCCCCTGCTTCTCCACCCGCCCTATCCCCCCCCCTCCCCCCACCCCTCCACCTCGCCCCTGCCCTCTGCACTCGTTTCCAGGCAGCAGCGTCTCTGCCTGCTTCGCCCTGTCGTTGCATTGTGATGCGAAACATGGTAACCCCGGAGGAGGTTGATGACGACCTGCAGAGCGAGGTGAGTGTAACACGATTCACTGTATTGTAACATCTGGTTCCACTTTTGAGACGTCTCAAAACACGATTCACTGTATTGTAACATCTGGTTCCACTTCTGAGACGTCTCAAAACACGATTCACTGTATTGTAACATCTGGTTCCACCTCCTGATTTGAATGCGATTACTCGAATAACTTTGATCAGATCTCCTGCTTCTACCCTCCTCAGTTTTCTGATTCCTCTTTTGTTGTCTACCCTATGCCCCGCCCCATCCCCTCCCACCCCTTGGTGTCACCCACCGCATGTCTTTTCCCACCCCTATGCCTCAACCTCTGTCGCCTCCCACTGCTATGTCTCACCTCCTCCTCACCCCGGCCTCACCTCCTCCTCACCCGGGCCTCGCCTCTCTTTCCTTGTCTGATATCTGCTGTCAGGTGACGGATGAATGTGGCAAGTTTGGCAAGGTGGAGCGGGTGGTCATCTACCAGGTGAGTTTTCTCATCAGGTGAATGTTCAGGTGGTCAAGTTAATGCTTTGAGGTGAAAATTCGTCAGTATTTTGACAATTTCCCTCCAGGATTTTTTTTCTGGTTTGTAAGCTGATGGTGTTTGTGGCTGACTCCTTTTCCCCTATTCTTGCTGCGTGGTGTTTCACCTGTGTGCAGGAGCAACAATCAGAGAAGCCAGGCGATGCGATAGTGAAGATCTTTGTCCTCTTCTCAAGCACCCCAGGTGAAGCTTCAACCAATGGTTTCCTGCTCCTCCTCCTCCAACCGCCCCAAACCCCCCCCCCCCTCCCTGCCCACCTCCCCTTCGTTCCTTCCCCCATGCCTCTACCTCCCCTTCGTTCCTTCCCCCATGCCTCAACCTCCCCCTTTCCTTTCCCTCAGCCTTCCCCTTGCTCTCTTGCTGCCTGGTTCATTCTTGCTCGTTGTCGCCCAGTACCCTTCCTCCTCTCTTTCACACACGCACACATGCACTTAAAATATGTGCCTGCGGTACACACTGCACGCTTACACAAATGCCCAAGTTCTTCATTTGTTTTTCCACCTTTTCGTGTGACGAATCTTGTTGGAATGGCATGTTGTGTCTTTGGCATGGCATGGCATGTGCTGTCGTTTTGGCATGGCATGGCAATTGCATGACGTGCATTTTGTCTTGGTGTTCTTTTGTTCCCATGGGAGCAGAGGCACAGGCAGCACAGCAGTCGCTGCACAACAGATGGTTCGGAGGCCGGCAGGTCATTGCCAGGTCAGTGCAGCAGTGCAGCTCGCTTTCCTCCCCCTTTTGTTTAGGCGCCTAAGAAATTGCCTCCAAAATGTTTGGTGCCTCAAGAGTAGTCGCTGCACAACAGATGGTTCGGAGGCCGGCAGGTCATTGCCAGGTCAGCGCAGCTAGCTTCTCCCTTAAGCCTCAATAATGGTCCCTCCTTTCTGTTTACTTGTTCAGCTCGCATCTGCCTCGGTTGTGTGTCGCACGTCCATGTGCTGCTGTGGTCCCCTCTATTCCACTGTAACCCCACCACCCACTGTTCATCACCCACTGTATCCCAAACATTTCATCAATCTCCATGCCGTGATTCTTCTGGTGTTTGTGTGGCTGCGATTTCATACACTCGCATGCATTCTCACGTGTAATCCGGGCTGCTGAAAATAACACCTTGTCTCATTTTCGTTTTCCTTGGCAGCTTCTATCCGGAAGTGCTGTTTGCCCGAAACGATTTCTCTCGCTGAGTGGAGTCGCTAATGAGTTGGAGGACATTTCTTCGGACCTGATTGCTGCTGTTCATGCATAAATCGTTCATTGTAGGATGTATTTTGTAGATGTCACACAAGTACTGGGGCGAACTTATGAGTTGGTGGTAGCTGCTATGAGGAGTCTTTTGTTCCTCATCATTTCTAGTTGTTAGGCATAATCCGTTTTTTTTTGTGGTATATGTGTAACGGCCATGTAACTGACGTTTTTATTCACTGTTCGCCCCTGTCTCTCTGAAGACTTCCCCCACCTCCCGCTGCTCCCCTAACCCCGCTCCCCCATGCCTATGCATAAGGCTTCCGCCTCCCCGCGGATTTGCCTTTGCGCGCGGAATTGGGATGTGCATGAACAAATTCATCCAGCCCATTCCATGGCGTCTGCATTCTCCCTCACGGCAGTGTGTCGCCGGATCGCGTCATCCGCGCGCTTTAGTCTAACAACCACTGGTAGCCTCCGCCAAGCCTCTTCAGCTTCCGCCGTTTCCGTGCCGCCAGGGATTTCGTCTGGTTCTTCCGCTATTGTCGGTTCGTCTGGTCCCAGCTCTGGATTTTTCACGCAGTCCAGATTCCTGTCGTTTCTCGGCAGCCGTCCGTCAGGTTCTCCGTCAAACTCCTACTGTGTGTCGACCCTAGGCCCGGGAATATCATCGCCGGTTGGAGCTACGTGCGTGGAGTCTCCTTTTTCCGTTTTCCAAAGACACATGGCGACGGCTGGACAAGTTATCAAGTGCAAGGGTGAGACAATTAACGTCCCTAAAGATTTCATCGAATTTCACTGGATTCGGGTTCTCGAGCGTAGTATTTCAAGAGATTCACCCTGAATCCGCTATTATCGCGTGGCGCTTATTACGGAAAGCTTCGCCTCACGTCACCTTCAGCAGCGGAGGGTGTCATGCGGACCCAACAAGCCGTAAGGAATTTGATCACCACTTTCTGTTTTGCCAGTTGACTAAAGAATCGATGGTTCTTTCTTTCTTTCTTTCTTTCTTTATTCTTCTTTCAGGTTATGACCCCTTCTTACTGTTTATCCCTTGACTCCTTTCATGCAGCGGCGGTGACGTGGCCGCCGAACAAGCCGTTGGTGATGGGGGAGGTGGAGATGGCGCCTTCTCGCTTCTGTGTCTTCTGATATTGTAGATTTGAACTTCTGGCCTAAAATTTTGCGACTCCCTGTGTGCAGCGGCGGGCGCCAAACAAGCCACTGGTGATCGAGGAGGTGGAGGTGCGTATGCATATTAATCCCCCTTCCTACTGTTTCTTCCTCGGCTCCTTGCGTGCAGCGGCGGTGGCGTGGGCGCCAAACAAGCCGCTGGTGATCGAGGAGGTGGAGGTGGCACCGCCACAAGCGGGGGAGGTGCGGATCCGCATCACACACACCGCGCTCTGCCACACCGACGCGTACACTCTGGACGGCCATGATCCCGAGGGGCTCTTCCCCTGCATCCTTGGCCACGAGGCTGCTGGGTGAGTGGGCGGGCTTTTGTGTGCTGCTTATGTGGTATGGCTGGCTGTTACAGATGTTAGCTCTGCCACACGGACGCGTACACTCTGGACGGCCATGATCCCGAGGGGCTCTTCCCCAGCATCCTCGGCCACGAGGCTGCTGGGTGAGTGGTTTGCGTGCTGCTGTGTAACATGGCTGTTACAGATGCGAGATGTTACACATGTTATCTCTGCCACACGGACGCGTACACTCTGGACGGCCATGATCCCGAGGGGCTCTTCCCCTGCATCCTCGGACATGAGGCTGCTGGGTGAGTGTTTGTGCTGCTGTGTACTGCTGTTGCTGTACTGGATGGGTACTGAGCTTGGCTGCGACAGGTGTTCGTTGCCTGGTTCAATCGGACACGTCCACTCTGGACGGCCATGACCCTGAGGGGCTCTTCCTCTGCTCCTCGGGTACGAGGCTGCTGTGTAAGTGGGCTGATAATGCTGCTGTGTGGTATGGCTGTCACAGATGGTAGATTTTACAGCTGGGCGTGATGACTTGTTGAGTCGACTCGTCGACCTTGCAACTTCGTTCCACCAAGCAAACTATCAACGTCTCTCTCTTACCTCCTCTCCTCCCCTCCTCCCAACCTGCCAGCATCGTGGAGAGCGTGGGCGAGGGCGACACAAGCGTGCAGTCAGACGACCATGTGATTCCATGCTACCAGGCGGAGCAGAGTACCAACGTCTCTCTCTTACCATCATTCCCTACTACCATATCGCATCCCTTGTGCCACTCCCCTCCTCCCACCGTGCCAGGATCGTGGAGAGTGTGGGTGAGGGCGTGACCAGTGTGCAGCCGGGCGACCATGTGATCCCATGCTACCAGGCGGAGTGCCGCGAGTGCAAGTTCTGCAAGTCCGGGAAGACCAACCTGTGTGGCAAGGTCCGCCCTGCCACAGGTCAGTGAGGGGCACAAGTGACCGTTTGCTCCTTTTTTTTTGTTTTTTTTTTTTTTGCATGGGCGCGAGCACGTTTCAGCGGGCTTTCCTCTCTCTCCTCCTCTCCCTCTTTCCACACTACAGGCCGTGGTGTGATGCTGTCGGACGACAAGCCGCGTTTCTCCGTGCGCGGAGAACCCATTTACCATTTCATGGGCACGAGCACGTTCAGCGAGTACACTGTTGTCCACGACGTGTCAGTTGCCAAGATCAACCCAGAGGCGCCACTCGACAAAGTGTGCCTGCTGGGCTGTGGCATCCCCACTGGTAAAAAGGACAAGCTCTCCCCTCTCATCCTCTTCGTTGCCAAGCCAAGGTGGACCTTTTCCAAACATTACCTGTCCTGAACCGCCCTGAATTGCTCTAAACTTCCCCCTGTCCAACTCCCTCCTCAATGCCCCCCTTCCTACCCCTTCCCCGCCCTCCCCCCCTCTCCCCCCTCTCCCCCCTCTCCCTCTTCTACTGGCAGGTCTGGGAGCGGTGTGGAATGCAGCCAAGGTTGAGCCTGGATCCACTGTTGCCATCTTTGGCCTGGGCACTGTTGGGCTCGCGGTGAGTCTCAGGTGGCAGTGGCGGTGGTCGGTGCATGGGAGTGAGTGACTCAGTCATGAGGCTTGTGTGTCATGGGCTGGGTTCTGCTGTATGATCAATGGCGAGTGCAGCCAAGGTGGAGCCTGTTTCCACCGTCGCCACCTTTGGCCTGGGCACTGTTGGGCTCGTGGTGTGTCTAGGGTGTGACAAGGATTAGCCTGGGCACTTTAAGGCTCATGGTGAGTCACAGCTTGGAGTTACGGCTTGCTGCGTTTCGAATCCTTCGTTACTCCGCAAGAGGCTACCTCATGGTGATTCACAGCTTGGAGTGCGGTTGGTTGGAGGTGAGGTGCCCTGTGCCCCACGTGTGTGACTTGTAGCTGTGCCCTTATTGGCTGGGTGTCCATCGCTTCTGGTTGATGATATCACTTTTGAGAAATCTCACAAGTGATTTTTAACATTGCCGCACGTGGTGACTTGTGGTTGTGCGTTTATTGGCTGGGTGTCCGTTTTCATCTCTTGATGAATGCATTTGCATCTGATTTGCGATCCTGTGCCCGTGTGCGGGAGTGTGGCAGGTGGCAGAGGGGGCAAAGGCAGCCAAGGCGTCGCGAATTATAGGCGTTGATATCGACCCTTCCAAGTTCGACACAGGTGTGCTTCGTGTGCACATGCATCCATGCATGCCTGGTATGCGCACTTGGCTATGGGTGGCAGGTGGCGGAGGGGGCCAAGGCAGCCAAAGCATCGCGGATCATAGGTGTTGACCACCACCTTGAGAAGTTTGAACGAGGTGGGGTGATGTGCACATGCATGCAAGGGCAGAGTGGCACGCCAAGTGTACCAACCGAGTAGTGCCAATTAAGGCATCAAGCATTGTAGGCGTTGACCACCACTCTGAAAAGTTTAAACGAGGTGGGGTGTGTGCATGCTTCCAGTGACATGTGAAATGCGCTCATGCAAGAATGTAGCAGCGGGCCAAGTGTGCCACCAACTAGTGACAGACAAACCATCATACATTGTACGCGTGGATATCGACACAGGTGGGGTGCTTTGCATATGCATGCATGCTGGAGCGCTGCCACAAGGGGTGGGGCGAGGCGAGGCAGTAATCATCGGCCCCTTCCTCTGCCTCCAATCCCCCCTCCCCTTCCCTTCTGTTTGCTTGCCATCCCTTGTCTCCCCATCCTTCCCGTTTTCCGTGCTTTTTCTCGGGCAGCCAAGGAGTTTGGAGTGACCGAGTTTGTGAACCCCAAGGACCACAGCCGCCCCATCCAAGAGGTTCTCGTGGAAATGACGGACGGGGGAGTCGATTATAGCTTTGAGTGCATCGGCAACACAGCAGTCATGCGTGCTGCCCTCGAGTGCTGCCACAAGGGGTGGGGCGAGTCGGTCATTATCGGAGTGGCAGCAGCAGGGCAGGAGATTTCCACGCGGCCGTTCCAGCTGGTCACAGGGCGTGTGTGGCGCGGCACGGCATTCGGGGGGTTCAAGAGCCGCACCCACGTGCCTGAGCTTGTGGACAAGTATTTGAACAAGGTGGGTGTGGTCTGTGTGTACGGAAGAGGTGTAGGAACAAGATGGTCACAGGGCGTGTGTGGCGCGGCACGGCGTTTGGCGGGTTCAAGAGCAGCACGCACTTGCAAGAGCTTGTGGACAAGTATTTGAAGTAAGTGGGTGTGGTCTGTGAATGTGGATGGGAGAGGTATATGGACAGGGTCTTTGAAGGTGGGACTGTAGCTCTAATGCTCACTGGTTTGGAAAGACGCTCAAGATTGGCAGCATCGGGGCAACAGCAGGGAAGGAGACTGACATGCACCTGATCCAGCTGGTCACAAGGCGTGTGTAGTGCGGCACGGCGTTCGGAAGGTTCTAAAGCAAGACTCATGTCCCACATCATGACCAAGGTGCTACTACACTTGGCAGCAACGACATAGAGAGCGCGGGGAACCGGTGCTTCGCAGACGCTGTGGAGGTTTCTGCTCGTGAAGGTGATGACCCTCCTCTCTCACCACACTCTTCTTCGCGGTGCAAGCATCCGCGAGATCACTCTCCCGGACATCTTCGTGTATCGACTGGCGAGTGCGTCGTCGGTGAAACCAAACAACCAGCCTGTCGTCATGGATTCGCCGACAACGCACTCGCCAGTCGATACAAGAAGATGTCCGGGAGAGTCATCTCGCGGATGTTGGCACCGCGAAGAAGAGTGTGGTGAGAGAGGAGGGTCATCACCTTCACGAGCAGAAACCTCCACAGCGTCTGCGAAGCACCGGTTCCCCGCGCTCTCTACGTCGTCGCCGCCAAGTGTGGCAGCACCTTGGTCATGATGTGGCGGAACCTCGTGTGTGGTGTTGTGGAATATATAGGAAAAATATATGGAATGTGTTGTTAGTGTGGGGTCCATGATTAACTTGGGGATTTTTGGAAGTGGGAAAGTTTCATTTAATGTGCTCTTCTCAGGTGGGTCGAGACTAATTTTGAGGCGCCTCAAAAGTCGTCTATTGTGCTCTCTGTTCAAGGGGGTCAAGAGCCCCATGAACGCATGTACTCATTTTTCCGTCCCTCACTCCCCCCTGTCCTTCTCCTTGTTGTCGCCCCATCAACAGATAAAGGTGGACCAGTATATCACGCACAACCTGCCTCTCTCTCCCACACCATCCCTCTCCCTCTCTACCCCTCTTCCTTCCCAACCTCTCTTGCCTCCCCATCAACAGGAGATCAAGGTAGATGAGTACATCACACACAACCTGCCTCTCTCTAAGATCAACGAGGCCTTTGAGTTGCTGCACGGAGGCAAGTGTCTGAGGGCCGTGATTCACATGGAGGAGGCCCAGTGATAGGGTGACGAGTGAAGAAAACGTTCTGGTACTATGGGAGTGAGGTTGAAGCGTGCTCGAGGATCCTCACTCCCTCACAGCTTGTAGCGATTCACATGCAGGAGCTCAAGTGATGGTACCCTTACCTCTAGAACCTGCCACTGTAGGAATTTTGTTTCTGGAAAAAATCAGTGCCTAGGAGCACTGGTGCCGTGGACGTTTCCAAAACCAAGAGACTGGTGATGATTCGTTTACCTTTGGTTTGATTGCCGTGGACGTCTCTTTGCCGCATCACATTGGTTCTAGCCCAGTATGGCAAAGATAACCTCAGTTTCATTTTGCTCACTGAAAGTGTTATGAGAAAACAGCAGCAGCTAAAGGGGATTGGCTATTAGCATCAATCTACAACAATCATTGCTATCTGGAAGCCTATCAGCAGCTTGTAACACCAAACTAAGCTCCAGGGCCTAGCCCCGTGTCTCGCACCCCAAGCTGCTAGGGAACAAACTAACCAACCACTTAGGTCTCTGATCTGCACATGTCTGCCTCTTGGTGTGCTTTATGGCATGTGCACATGACGAGGTGGTGGTTTATGGCATACCGTAAACGGCACAAAACTACAGCGAGGTGGTACCAGTGCACGAGGTGAAACGGCATGAATCTTTTTGAGTTATTGGTACCAGATGCGACGACTCCGAAACACACACCCAGCACACCGACTCTTAAGATCGAAAGAGTTACCATGAACGTGCTTAGAAGACGGGTCAGATCAGCTAGACATTCTAATGGGCGCAGCTGCGAATACTGTACTGGGAAACTAATGTGCCCACCTTGGAAAGTGCACCCACCTCAGAAATGCACTGGCAACCATGGATTGTGACATTGGTAGCATGGGGCACCGTGCGGTGGAATGGGGTGGAATGGGGTGGAAAGGGGTGGAAACGGGTGGAAACGGGTGGACCTGCGGGTGCTAGTGAGCCGACTTGACTACTTTGGATAGTGCATCCATTCCGGGGATGGCAGAAGCAACGGTGGATGGAATCGATTGGCGGGGGGTTGGGACGATCATGACCGCACAGTTGGCAGCGTGTGCCACATGGTCACTCACACTCCCCAATAACACCCTGAAACAGGGATGGGGAAATAAGATTGGAGGGCGGGGGAGGGAGGGGGGAGTAGGGGGGAAGGGTGAGGAATTAGGAGTGTGCCACGTGGTCACTCACACTCCCCAATAACACCCTGAGGTGAGAGTGGAAAAGAAGGAACAGAGAAAAGGAGGAGGAAGTGAGCAGGAAAAGGTGGGGGATGCAATCACTCATGTACTTAGGGACGATCATGACCGCACAATTGGCTGTGTGTGCCACGTCATAACTCACACTTTCCAAAAACACCCTGGAATGAGAGTGGGGAAAAACGTTGGGAGAGAAAATTGGGGGAAAGGGGGAGTAAATACGAAAGGGGATGGGCAATCATGAGTCATGAGCGCACAGTTGGCTGGCAGTGTGTGCCACGTGGCCGCTCACACTCCCCAATAACGCTCTGAAACGAGAGTGGGGAAAAGGGGGGGAACTGGGGGGGAAGAGGGGAGGGAAGAGGGGAGGGAAGAGGGGAGGGAAGAGGGGAGGGAAGAGGGGAGGGAAGAGGGGAGGGAAGAGGGGAGGGATAAGGAACTTGCACGCCCCAGCAACACCCTGGGTAAAGATCAGGGTAAAAATCCAAGGGTACACAAGCTGGGGGTGGGACGGTGGGACGATAAAGGAGAACTACATCAGAATGTGCATGCCAAGAGGTCACTCACACTCTCCAATGGCATCATAAAAAGAGAAAGGGGTAAGAAACCGGGAAGGAGATCGATCTAAAACCATCCAAGCCAAAAGCCAATCTGTGTCTGAACCCGGAATCGAACCGGAGACCTCCAGTGTGTGAGACTGGCGTGATAACCGACTACACCATCCAGACATGTCTGAAGGGGTAAAAAACATTACCTGGCGGAATCGCTGACCACAAGGGGCTGAATGCATGCAATCATACTTGGGACTCCGGGGATATGCATGCAGGTAGGGAACTATGGTGTGTGAAACGCTTGGAAGTTGGTTCACAATCAAGCGCCATGCCCACCTCGTTATAGCGTTGTGCCCACCTCTTTATAGTGCTGTGCCCACCTCGTTATAGCGCTGTACCCACCTCGTTATAGCGCCGTGCCCGTGGCTTCCCAATACAATCACATCCGGGTCGACCTCGCTCGCTGCTTCGAGGATCCTCTCCCTCGCGTCGCCACACGCGCTCTTCGTCACCCACTCGTTCTTAAACGACGGCTGCGTTAAAAAAACACACACACACACAAAAAAAAACGCACGGAACGGCGGAAACAGGATAATGCACACGGAATGGAGGGAGAAGTGGGAGGCCGGAAGGGAAGGCAAGGAGGGAGAAGAGGAAAGGCAGAAACGACGAGGAGATTGAGCGATAATAACGAGGGTGGCATATGTTGCAACGTTACCATTCTTCGTTATAAGCTCACTTTGTAGGTACTGGCAAGTTTCTGGTACTTGTCCAGCAGCGTGTGACTATCTCGAAGGTACTGTGCCTCGAACTCCTGTTTGTAGGTCTGGGCGGCATAGAAATCCACCTCTGCGAGGAGCCATGCCACGTCACCCATGCGGTTATGAAGAAAAAGAAGCGCGTAAGAATCGCTTCGCCATCGAAAAAGGACTACGACGAAGACGAAGAAGCAGGGAAGATACTACTGGTGAAGGGAGAGAGAGAGAGACGGAAGGGGGCGGGGTTTCGGCTGCTGCTGCAATCTCCGTCCCCTTCGCGTGGTACCTTCAATGTGCGGTCGGACGTGAACTATGGTAACCCTATCGTTGTCTTCGACGACCTTTTCGCACGCGAATTGTAACGCGTGGCGACTGCCCTCCGATTCGTCCACCGCGATCAAGAAATTTCGCCCCGCTTCCCCCGCCGCCATATCAGTTTGCTAAAAACGACACAGTTAGTGACGTCAAGGAACGGAACGCCTGGTACGGAAAAACTATAAGAATCGCGAAAAGGATGTGATGCGAGTGACGACTTGAAGTCAGTCGGCAGGACTATACCAAGAAAGATAACGACACTGACACGAGGATGGAGTTAATAGCAACCTATTTAAACCAACGGCCCTGAAATATAGCACAAGCGACTAGTTGCGCGCGTCTCTAAGAAAACGATATTCGCCTAGAGGTTGCCAGCGTGAGTGAAAAAAAAAAAAAAACTACACAATTCGAGAAACGCAATCAAGAAATCAAGAAATCTTTCAGAAGAAAAGTTGCCAAGAAAAGTTGCGCCTAACAGCACCAGGGCGCTGTGTGAAACGGACGAAAGCTGATGTTGAGGGCGTGAACGAAACCCAAACGGCGGATTCAGTGCGGTCATAATATTTTTAGCAGATGTATACTACGGTGAAACACGGTGCCTGAAGTTCTGCATCAGCCTCCCCCATGCGTATTTGTCAGGATCACTGTGAGTGATGCCAGCTGTTGCTGCTTCACAATAAACGTGCTCGCTGTGGCTTAGCCACGTGGAATCGGTGACGCAATTTTTGGAAGCATACAGCGGCATTCTAGGTGGCAAAGCAATTCGATTACGTCAGCTCGAACAGCTCGGTTCCGACGATGTCTGATATCTCTGTAAAAAGATTGTGCGCAACGGTGTAAGAGCTCGTTCCAAAATACAGTAGGAAAAAATTGGACATATATTTCTAAATGCACCCAGAACAACAAACCCATTAGTTAGCTGATCAGGTAGTGGGGACATGAATGTCCAATACCTGGAAAGCCCACACTAGCAAAGCCAGAATGCCTCACCCGAAAAAAGGGGATACATGAGGTATGTATTGACAAAAAAAAAAAAAAAAAAAAAAAAAAAAACACCATAATGGTGACCCCCACCTACCCCTTCCCCCTTCTTCTCCGTCACCCCCCTCCCACCCAACGGTCACATTCATTCCACCGTGACACTCTTGGCAAGGTTTCGAGGTTGATCGACGTTGAATCCCCGAATGACAGTCAAATGGTATGCGAGGAGCTGAAGCGGAATTATATTAATGATGGGCTGTAGGCAATCCTCCACATGAGGCACTTCTATTATCTTTGCCGCGCCATTCGGGCACATGAGATCCGCATCTCCCTCAGAGCAGATCACCATTAGTCGGCCGCTGCGTGCCTGCAGCTGCTGAATAACCGACTGCTGCTTGCTGTATTTGTGGTCAGAAGGGCCGTGGAAAAGGGAGTAGTGGAACAGAAGAGGCGTGAACATGAATTTGCAGAAAGCATTGTGCGTCTACACACACATGTCGGTCCCTTTTGGTTGCATTGTCAGCCTCAACCATGCGCCCTTGCACGCTGCACGTTTCCACCAATTCCTCCTCCTCACCTCCGCACATCCACCACATTTCAGCACCTCTCCATAGCCACCACCACTTCCCTCCTCCTCACCTGCAGGTGCCGTTGCAGGTGGCGACAATAATGATGGGAAGAGTGGCGTCAAGGAGGCATTGCGAGAAGCTCTTACCTTGAACGGCCCGATTAGCTGCTTCCTCGGATCGCTTTACGTTCAAGGACCAATCGACAGCCGCCATGATGACCAAGATAATTGTGACCGTTGTCAAAAAAAGGTATCGTCAGTGGAAGATCTGTCTTTCTACCGCACAAACTTGCTACTTACCCGGGATGTCCATTTGTGGGTGTTTGGTCTAGTGGCATGATTCTCGCTTAGGGTGCGAGAGGTCCCGAGTTCAATTCTAGGAACACCCCTATCAATAATAAAGCATTTTGTCAACGGATTTGTTAGGAGAATACTGTCCTCTTCTAGTGTTCTCCACTAGTGCAGCCATACTCAATACTAGGGACCGCTGAGAAACTTACCTCCCCCGCTGTGCATCCCCACGCCCAAACATTACCTCCCCGCACCCACCACAACCACCCAGCCAGTTCACCTCCCCATCCCCACCTCAACACAGGGACCTCCACCCTGCCCACATCCTCTCCACCCGCCTTCCCGCACCCTCCCCCCTCTCTTCCTTCCTCACCTGCACGTGCTGTCGTGAGAGGTGACGACAATGATAGGCAGAGTGGCGTCAACGAGGGCGAGCGGGCCGTGCTTCATCTCGCCGGCCAGAATGTCCTCGCTGTGCATCCCCGTGCCCAACATTACCTCCCCGCACCCATCACCACCCCTCAGCCCACCACCCCTCCCCATGAACCATCCCTCTTCCTCACCTGCAGGTGCTGTCGCGAGTAGCAACAACGATAATAGGCAGAGTGGCGTCAACGAGGGCGAGGGGGCCGTGCTTCATCTCGCCGGCCAGAATGCCCTCGCTGTGCATCAGCGCCACCTCCTTCACCTTCAGCGCCCCCTCCACCGCCGTCGCGTAGTTGTAGCCGCGGCCAAACACCAGCAGGCTCTGCTCGCCTGACAGCTCTCTGGCCAACTGTTGGATTTCTGAGTCAAGCCTCAGCACCTGGCGCACCTTCCCTGGATGGGCGGGGAAGGGGTTGGAAACAATGGTCAATCGCAACGAATGTTGCGTAACTGTACCTGCGCCCAAACACCAGCAGGCTCTGCTCGTCTGAGAGCTCTCGAGCTAGCTGCTGGATTTCAGAGTCCAGCCTCAAAATGCTGTTTCGCAGCTGCACCCGTAGCCAAACACCAGCAGGCTCTGCTCGAAAGACAGGCTGCTTTCGAGAATTCTCAGAATCAACCTGCAACGAAGGAGGGTAAAAATGCTGTTTCGCATTGTACCCGTGGCCAAACACCAGCACGCTCTGCTCGAAAGACAGCTCGCGGACCACGTATTGGTCCTCAGAATCCAGCCTCAGAGCCTGTTTTTTGAGAATTCTCAATAAACAGCTCGCAGGCCAACTGTTGCGCCTCAGAGTCCAGCCTCAGAGTCCAGCCTCAGAGTCCAGCCTCAGAGTCCAGCCTCAGAGTCCAGCCTCAGCACCTGGCACACTTTCCCTGGATAGAACTCATGGATGGGGGAGGGTGTGTGATGTGATGGGGGAGAGGAATGGGGTATGGTAAGGAGGATGCTGTCGAGTTGTTATACCCGCACCCTAACACCCACCAGCAGGCTCAGCTCGCGAGACAGCTCACAGGCAGGCTGGTAGGATTTCCGATTCCAGCCTGAACACCTGCCTCATCTTCCCCGGATAAAAGGCAAGGGCGAGGTCCGTCCAGGGAAGGGGACAAGGGGGACATGGATAGAGAATGCAACAAGGCAAGGCATGCCTCTCACAGGTCCGAATGGCTTCTCTGGAAGAAGCAGATTGGTGAAGTTTGGTAAGAAAATAAAAGTATTGGAAGGCCAGTGTGAGACTCCATTATTAGTAGGCACGGCTCAGTGCATGGCAATGCACTTTCTGGGCAGGTCAGCGGGCTTCTCTATGATCCGTGTTTTGAGTCGACTCAAAACACGGCTCATTATGAGTCGACTCAAAACACGGCTCATTATGAGTCGACTCAAAACACGGCTCATTATGAGTCGACTCAAAACACGGCTCGTTTTGAGTCGACTCAAAACACGGCTCATTTTGAGTCGACTCAAAACACGGCTCATTTTGAGTCGACTCAAAACACGGCTCATTTTGAGTCGACTCAAAACAGGTGAACGAGCTTCTCTTTGATCGGCTCTCTTCACCCTTTCGTGGAAATGCTGTCCTCGCCAATCGCCAGAACCATCAGCACCAGCACCGCAATTTGACTGCACAGTGTGTGCACTTACTGAGTGACGGCTTAGCGGGTGGCGAAGCACAGTGCACTTACTGGGCAGGTCGACGAGGCTGTCTATGATCCGCTCTCTTCGCTCCTTCGTGGAAATGCTGTCCTCCCCAATCGCAAGAGCCATCAGCACCAGCACCGCAATCTGACTCGTGTATGCCTGGAATAGAAACCATATCAAATGGGACGGGGGGTGGGGGGGTGGGGGTGGTGGTTTGGAAAGGAGAGGATTTAATAGGCGCCTCAAAATTAGGCATTAGCAGTTGCACCAGCACCACAATCTGACTCGTGTATGCCTGGAATAGTAACCATATCGAATGGGACGGGGAGTGGGGTTTGGAAAGGAGAGGATTTCATAGGCGCCTCAAAATATGCCATTCTCATTTGCACAAGCACAGCAACCTGCCTCGTGTATACCTGTAGCGTTTACCAAGGACGGGACCCCAGGAATAGAAAATCAGGGCATGCAGGCAATGAAACATGAGATGAAAGACGACTTTCAACATAAAATGCAGCAACGCACCAGAGAACGAAACATCGCCGAAGCGGAACTGAAAACTAAAACACCAGGACCTTGCTAATGGCACTCCCCACCGTGTTAGTCACGCCCACACACAGCGCCCCCTTCGCTTCGCCCCTCTCCACCACACACAGCGCCCCCTTCGCTTCGCCCCTCTCCCCCACACACAGCGCCCCCTTCGCTTCGCCCCTCTCCCCCACACACAGCGCCCCCTTCGCTTCGCCCCTCTCCCCCACACACAGCGCCCCCTTCGCTTCGCCCCTCTCCCCCACACACAGCACCCCCTTCGCTTCGCCCCTCTCCCCCACACACAGCACCCCCTTCGTTTCGCCCCTCTCCCCCACACACAGCACCCCCTTCGCTTCGCCCCTCTCCCCCACACACAGCGCCCCCTTCGCTTCGCCCCTCTCCCCCACACACAGCGCCCCCTTCGCTTCGCCCCTCTCCCCCACACACAGCACCCCCTTCGCTTCGCCCCTCTCCCCCACACAACGCCGGCTTCCCTATCAGCAGCTCACCTTAGTGCTGGCAACGCCGATTTCAGCCCCAGCGTTGATGAACACGCCACAGTGCGTGCGGCGGGCGATGGCACTCCCCACCGTGTTAGTCACACCCACACACAGCGCCCCCCTCGCCCGCGCATACTCCAGCGCCGACAGCGTGTCCGCCGTCTCCCCCGACTGGCTCATAAACACCGCCGTATCCTCTCTATAAACCGGCGCGTTTCTGTCCAACATATCGCTAGCCAGCTCCAGCTGAACCGCCACCCCGGAGAGCTCTTCCAACAGAGGACGCACGGCGAGCGCTGCGTGGTAACTGGTGCCGCAGCCGACGAAAATGATGCGCCTGCTGCGACGGATGGTGAGGAGATGGTCTTTGAGGCCTCCCAGCAGCACCCCTTTTTCCTCTGACCAAGGCGCGGAGGAGCCTACGCGGCTGACAGGAGAGAGTTTGGAAAGAGGGGAGAGGGGCGGCAGGCTGGAAACTGCAACTGCTGCTCCTGCTGCTGCTGCTGCTGTGGAGGCTACTGGGCTGCTTCCATTCGAACCAGCAGCGGCAGTAGCAGCAGCAGAGTCAACACCAGCAGTTACCGCTGCTGCGGCTGCCACTGCTGCTGCTGCAGAGGCGGAGGGCGGAAGGGAGCTGCATGCATTAGACGCAGTGGGCGACAGCGAATCCGCTTTCCCGTGAATCAGCCTCCCCCTCAGCGTCATGGTGAGCGAGTCAGGCTGCTCGTGGATCTCCTTCTGCATGAAATGGTCATAACTCCCCTTCATGATCTGCTCCACCTCCATCTCCAAGGTAGAAAGAGCCCTCTGCAGCGCCGTCGTCGGCGGTAAACCGCGCTTCGCCTTATCCGGCTCGAACGAAAACAGCGAAACGACCCCGTCCCGGATATGCACCACCTCGTTATCCTCTATAACCATGACTTTCTTGGTATGCTCTACCACCGCACTCGCATCGCTCGCTAGAAACAGCTCCCGAGGGCCGGTCGCCACGGCTCCTCCTCTCACCATGCCCCCAGGCTCCTCCGCTCCCACTATATCAAACGCGGATTTCCGGCCGTCGGAGGGGACTTTGACGCCCAAGAGCAGCGGGCTGCCGCGCTTGCAGGCGACGAGCTGGTTGGGGAAGTGCGGGCTCTTGAAGAGCAGCGCGTAGGCGCCTTCTAGCTGCCGCATCACCTCCATCACCACCTGCGTGAACGCCACTCGCTCCCCAGGAGACCCTCCGTTGGCTGATGGGAAGAAACAAGGGGAAAAGGCGTGGGAAGGGATGAGAAGCGGGAGCGTAGGCGCCCTCTAGCTGCCGCATCACCTCCATCACCACCTGCGTGAACGCCACTCGCTCCCCAGGAGACCCTCCGTTGGCTGATGGGAAGAAACAAGGGGAAAAGGCGTGGGAAGGGATGACAAGCGGGAGCGTAGGCGCCCTCTAGCTGCCGCATCACCTCCATCACCACCTGCGTGAACGCCACCCGCTCACCATTGGCAGTACCGTTGACTGGGGAGAGTGGGGTGCGGGGTGTGCGGGGAGGATGGGGTGGATGAGAGTGAGGGAGGAGGGACGAGCAGCGCGTAGGCGCCCTCCAGCTGCCGCATCACCACTTGGGTGAATGCCGCTTGCTCACCACTGATGGAACCGTTGACTGTGGGGAGTGGGGGGTGGGGATTGGGGAATGGAGATTAGGGAATGGGGAGTGGGGAATGGGGAGTGGGGAGTGGGGAGTGGGGAACGGGGTGTGCGGGGAAGAGGGGAGGACGAGAGTGAGGGAGGAGGGACGAGCAGCGCGTGGGCGCCCTCCAGCTGCCGCATCACATCGTCACCACCTGCGTGAACGCCACACTCTCCCCGCAGGTGGCACCGTTTGCTGATGAGAGGGAATGCAGGAAACGAGGGGAAAGAGAGTAGGATGGGTGGGAGAGAGGTAGGAGTGAAAAGGAAGTAAGAACAAGTCGTCAGGAGGATCACCTCTCGTGGTCTCTCCCTCCTATGAATCCTTTCTTCGTGTTAGACCTTGATCCTCTAACTTCTGAGTCGACTCAAAAGTCTTTCTTCGTGTTATACCTTGATCCTCTAACTTCTGAGTCGACTCAAAAGTCTTTCTTCGTGTTAGACCTTGATCCTCTAACTTCTGAGTCGACTCAAAAGTCTTTCTTCGTGTTAGACCTTGATCCTCTAACTTCTGAGTCGACTCAAAAGTCTTTCTTCGTGTTATACCTTGATCCTCTAACTTCTGAGTCGACTCAAAAGTCTTTCTTCGTGTTAGACCTTGATCCTCTAACTTCTGAGTCAACTCAAAAGTCTTTCTTCGTGTTATACCTTGATCCTCTAACTTCTGAGTTGACTCAAAAGTCTTTCTTCGTGTTATACCTTGATCCTCTAACTTCTGAGTCGACTCAAAAGTCTTTCTTCGTGTTAGACCTTGATCCTCTAACTTCTGAGTCGACTCAAAAGTCTTTCTTCGTGTTATACCTTGATCCTCTAACTTCTGAGTCGACTCAAAAGTCTTTCTTCGTGTTATACCTTGATCCTCTAACTTCTGAGTCGACTCAAAAGTCTTTCTTCGTGTTATACCTTGATCCTCTAACTTCTGAGTCGACTCAAAAGTCTTTCTTCGTGTTAGACCTTGATCCTCTAACTTCTGAGTCGACTCAAAAGTCTTTCTTCGTGTTATACCTTGATCCTCTAACTTCTGAGTCGACTCAAAAGTCTTTCTTCGTGTTAGACCTTGATCCTCTAACTTCTGAGTCGACTCAAAAGTCTTTCTTCGTGTTAGACCTTGATCCTCTAACTTCTGAGTCGACTCAAAAGTCTTTCTTCGTGTTATACCTTGATCCTCTAACTTCTCAGTCGACTCAAAAGTCTTTCTTCGTGTTAGACCTTGATCCTCTAACTTCTGAGTCGACTCAAAAGTCTTTCTTCGTGTTATACCTTGATCCTCTAACTTCTGAGTCGACTCAAAAGTCTTTCTTCGTGTTATACCTTGATCCTCTAACTTCTGAGTCGACTCAAAAGTCTTTCTTCGTGTTCGACCTTGATCCTCTAACTTCTGAGTCGACTCAAAAGTCTTTCTTCGTGTTATACCTTGATCCTCTAACTTCTGAGTCGACTCAAAAGTCTTTCTTCGTGTTATACCTTGATCCTCTAACTTCTGAGTCGACTCAAAAGTCTTTCTTCGTGTTAGACCTTGATCCTCTAACTTCTGAGTCGACTCAAAAGTCTTTCTTCGTGTTAGACCTTGATCCTCTAACTTCTGAGTCGACTCAAAAGTCTTTCTTCGTGTTATACCTTGATCCTCTAACTTCTGAGTCGACTCAAAAGTCTTTCTTCGTGTTATACCTTGATCCTCTAACTTCTGAGTCGACTCAAAAGTCTTTCTTCGTGTTAGACCTTGATCCTCTAACTTCTGAGTCGACTCAAAAGTCTTTCTTCGTGTTAGACCTTGATCCTCTAAATTCTGAGTCGACTCAAAAGTCTTTCTTCGTGTTATACCTTGATCCTCTAACTTCTGAGTCGACTCAAAAGTCTTTCTTCGTGTTATACCTTGATCCTCTAACTTCTGAGTCGACTCAAAAGTCTTTCTTCGTGTTATACCTTGATCCTCTAACTTCTGAGTCGACTCAAAAGTCTTTCTTCGTGTTATACCTTGATCCTCTAACTTCTGAGTCGACTCAAAAGTCTTTCTTCGTGTTAGACCTTGATCCTCTAACTTCTGAGTCGACTCAAAAGTCTTTCTTCGTGTTATACCTTGATCGTCTAACTTCTGAGTCGACTCAAAGGTCTTTCTTCGTGTTATACCTTGATCCTCTAACTTCTGAGTCGACTCAAAAGTCTTTCTTCGTGTTAGACCTTGATCCTCTAACTTCTGAGTCGACTCAAAAGTCTTTCTTCGTGTTATACCTTGATCCTCTAACTTCTGAGTCGACTCAAAAGTCTTTCTTCGTGTTATACCTTGATCCTCTAACTTCTGAGTCGACTCAAAAGTCTTTCTTCGTGTTATACCTTGATCCTCTAACTTCTGAGTCGACTCAAAAGTCTTTCTTCGTGTTATACCTTGATCCTCTAACTTCTGAGTCGACTCAAAAGTCTTTCTTCGTGTTATACCTTGATCCTCTAACTTCTGAGTCGACTCAAAAGTCTTTCTTCGTGTTATACCTTGATCCTCTAACTTCTGAGTCGACTCAAAAGTCTTTCTTCGTGTTAGACCTTGATCCTCTAACTTCTGAGTCGACTCAAAAGTCTTTCTTCGTGTTATACCTTGATCCTCTAACTTCTGAGTCGACTCAAAAGTCTTTCTTCGTGTTAGACCTTGATCCTCTAACTTCTGAGTCGACTCAAAAGTCTTTCTTCGTGTTAGACCTTGATCCTCTAACTTCTGAGTCGACTCAAAAGTCTTTCTTCGTGTTATACCTTGATCCTCTAACTTCTGAGTCGACTCAAAAGTCTTTCTTCGTGTTATACCTTGATCCTCTAACTTCTGAGTCGACTCAAAAGTCTTTCTTCGTGTTCGACCTTGATCCTCTAACTTCTGAGTCGACTCAAAAGTCTTTCTTCGTGTTATACCTTGATCCTCTAACTTCTGAGTCGACTCAAAAGTCTTTCTTCGTGTTATACCTTGATCCTCTAACTTCTGAGTCGACTCAAAAGTCTTTCTTCGTGTTATACCTTGATCCTCTAACTTCTGAGTCGACTCAAAAGTCTTTCTTCGTGTTATACCTTGATCCTCTAACTTCTGAGTCGACTCAAAAGTCTTTCTTCGTGTTATACCTTGATCCTCTAACTTCTGAGTCGACTCAAAAGTCTTTCTTCGTGTTATACCTTGATCCTCTAACTTCTGAGTCGACTCAAAAGTCTTTCTTCGTGTTATACCTTGATCCTCTAACTTCTGAGTCGACTCAAAAGTCTTTCTTCGTGTTATACCTTGATCCTCTAACTTCTGAGTCGACTCAAAAGTCTTTCTTCGTGTTATACCTTGATCCTCTAACTTCTGAGTCGACTCAAAAGTCTTTCTTCGTGTTAGACCTTGATCCTCTAACTTCTGAGTCGACTCAAAAGTCTTTCTTCGTGTTATACCTTGATCCTCTAACTTCTGAGTCGACTCAAAAGTCTTTCTTCGTGTTATACCTTGATCCTCTAACTTCTGAGTCGACTCAAAAGTCTTTCTTCGTGTTATACCTTGATCCTCTAACTTCTGAGTCGACTCAAAAGTCTTTCTTCGTGTTATACCTTGATCCTCTAACTTCTCAGTCGACTCAAAAGTCTTTCTTCGTGTTAGACCTTGATCCTCTAACTTCTGAGTCGACTCAAAAGTCTTTCTTCGTGTTATACCTTGATCCTCTAACTTCTGAGTCGACTCAAAAGTCTTTCTTCGTGTTAGACCTTGATCCTCTAACTTCTGAGTCGACTCAAAAGTCTTTCTTCGTGTTCGACCTTGATCCTCTAACTTCTGAGTCGACTCAAAAGTCTTTCTTCGTGTTATACCTTGATCCTCTAACTTCTGAGTCGACTCAAAAGTCTTTCTTCGTGTTATACCTTGATCCTCTAACTTCTGAGTCGACTCAAAAGTCTTTCTTCGTGTTATACCTTGATCCTCTAACTTCTGAGTCGACTCAAAAGTCTTTCTTCGTGTTATACCTTGATCCTCTAACTTCTGAGTCGACTCAAAAGTCTTTCTTCGTGTTCGACCTTGATCCTCTAACTTCTGAGTCGACTCAAAAGTCTTTCTTCGTGTTATACCTTGATCCTCTAACTTCTGAGTCGACTCAAAAGTCTTTCTTCGTGTTATACCTTGATCCTCTAACTTCTGAGTCGACTCAAAAGTCTTTCTTCGTGTTATACCTTGATCCTCTAACTTCTGAGTCGACTCAAAAGTCTTTCTTCGTGTTATACCTTGATCCTCTAACTTCTGAGTCGACTCAAAAGTCTTTCTTCGTGTTATACCTTGATCCTCTAACTTCTGAGTCGACTCAAAAGTCTTTCTTCGTGTTATACCTTGATCCTCTAACTTCTGAGTCGACTCAAAAGTCTTTCTTCGTGTTATACCTTGATCCTCTAACTTCTGAGTCGACTCAAAAGTCTTTCTTCGTGTTATACCTTGATCCTCTAACTTCTGAGTCGACTCAAAAGTCTTTCTTCGTGTTATACCTTGATCCTCTAACTTCTGAGTCGACTCAAAAGTCTTTCTTCGTGTTAGACCTTGATCCTCTAACTTCTGAGTCGACTCAAAAGTCTTTCTTCGTGTTATACCTTGATCCTCTAACTTCTGAGTCGACTCAAAAGTCTTTCTTCGTGTTATACCTTGATCCTCTAACTTCTGAGTCGACTCAAAAGTCTTTCTTCGTGTTATACCTTGATCCTCTAACTTCTGAGTCGACTCAAAAGTCTTTCTTCGTGTTATACCTTGATCCTCTAACTTCTCAGTCGACTCAAAAGTCTTTCTTCGTGTTAGACCTTGATCCTCTAACTTCTGAGTCGACTCAAAAGTCTTTCTTCGTGTTATACCTTGATCCTCTAACTTCTGAGTCGACTCAAAAGTCTTTCTGCGTGTTAGACCTTGATCCTCTAACTTCTGAGTCGACTCAAAAGTCTTTCTTCGTGTTCGACCTTGATCCTCTAACTTCTGAGTCGACTCAAAAGTCTTTCTTCGTGTTATACCTTGATCCTCTAACTTCTGAGTCGACTCAAAAGTCTTTCTTCGTGTTAGACCTTGATCCTCTAACTTCTGAGTCGACTCAAAAGTCTTTCTTCGTGTTAGACCTTGATCCTCTAACTTCTGAGTCGACTCACAAGTCTTTCTTCGTGTTAGACCTTGATCCTCTAACTTCTGAGTCGACTCAAAAGTCTTTCTTCGTGTTAGACCTTGATCCTCTAACTTCTGAGTCGACTCACAAGTCTTTCTTCGTGTTAGACCTTGATCCTCTAACTTCTGAGTCGACTCAAAAGTCTTTCTTCGTGTTAGACCTTGATCCTCTAACTTCTGAGTCGACTCAAAAGTCTTTCTTCGTGTTAGACCTTGATCCTCTAACTTCTGAGTCGACTCACAAGTCTTTCTTCGTGTTATACCTTGATCCTCTAACTTCTGAGTCGACTCAAAAGTCTTTCTTCGTGTTATACCTTGATCCTCTAACTTCTGAGTCGACTCAAAAGTCTTTCTTCGTGTTATACCTTGATCCTCTAACTTCTGAGTCGACTCAAAAGTCTTTCTTCGTGTTATACCTTGATCCTCTAACTTCTGAGTCGACTCAAAAGTCTTTCTTCGTGTTATACCTTGATCCTCTAACTTCTGAGTCGACTCAAAAGTCTTTCTTCGTGTTAGACCTTGATCCTCTAACTTCTGAGTCGACTCAAAAGTCTTTCTTCGTGTTAGACCTTGATCCTCTAACTTCTGAGTCGACTCAAAAGTCTTTCTTCGTGTTATACCTTGATCCTCTAACTTCTGAGTCGACTCAAAAGTCTTTCTTCGTGTTATACCTTGATCCTCTAACTTCTGAGTCGACTCAAAAGTCTTTCTTCGTGTTATACCTTGATCCTCTAACTTCTGAGTCGACTCAAAAGTCTTTCTTCGTGTTAGACCTTGATCCTCTAACTTTTGAGTCGACTCAAAAGTCTTTCTTCGTGTTAGACCTTGATCCTCTAACTTCTGAGTCGACTCAAAAGTCTTTCTTCGTGTTATACCTTGATCCTCTAACTTCTGAGTCGACTCAAAAGTCTTTCTTCGTGTTATACCTTGATCCTCTAACTTCTGCCCCTCCTGCCCCTCCTGCCCCTCCTGCCCCTCCTGCCCCTCCTGCCCCTCCTACCCAGTTTTCTTTTCCCTGCCTCTTCCTCACCTACCCTCTTCTTGCACAACACGCCGGTGGTCATGCCTTTGCCGCCCTGACCCCCTTCCGACTGCAGCAAACTGTCGTACACGAATTGCCGCTCCTGTTCCTAGCACCCACTCCCCTTCTCCTGCCCCCCTCCCCTACCTGTCTTGCACGACACGCCGTTGGCCATGCCTTCGCCGCTCTGTCCCCCGTTCCGACTGCAGAAGGTTGTCGTACACGAATTTCGCAAGCTTCGGGATCACCTTTGTCTGTTCCTCCCTACCGCCCCTCCTGTTCCTACCACCCAAGCCCCTTCTCCTGCCCCCCTCCCCTACCTGTCTTGCTCGAGACGCCGTTGGCCATGCCCTCGCCGCCATGACCCCCTTCCGACTGCAGCAGATTGTCGTACACGAACTTGGCGAGCTTCGGGATCACCTCGGTGTCTGTCTCTGATTCAAACGTGAAGCCGTGCCTCTGGAGAGTGCCCTTCAGCGCCTGCGGATAGGGCGTGGTGTGGAGGGGTGTAAGGAGTGTGAAGAAATGTGGGGGAGTTTGGGGGGGTGTGAAGGAGTGTAGGGAGGTGTAGGGGGGAATTTGGCGAGCTTCGGAACCACCTCGGTGTTCGTTTCCGACTCGAACGTGAAGCCGTGCCGCTGGAGAGTGCCCTTCAGCGCCTGGGGAATGTGATGAAGAGAGAGGGTGGAGGAGTGAGAAAGGAGGGTGGGATTGAGAAAGGAGTGGGAGGAGTGTGGGGAAGGGAAGGACGTGCCAGGAAGGGCTGAAGTAATATCCCTCTTCAGTACAAACGGCTACCATACTATGCTTCAGGGAAAGTGTAAGAGCATTAATCTCCTTTCAGGTGTCACTGTACCTTGTAGTTGGTGATAATTCCGTTGTTCACTGTTAGAAAGTCGTGGTTCAATTAGGAAGACCCTCGAAGCGTCGTAGGATTCATTTTCACGGAACCAGCAAGAGCTGACGCTAAACGTACCTTGTAGTTGGTGACAATCCCGTTGTGCACCACCGGAAACTCGTGGCTCTGACCGGACGACTCTCGAGGTGTCTTAGGATTCACTTCCAGGAAAGGAGAAGGAGCTGAGGTGCCACTGTACCTTGTAGTTGGTGATGATCCCGTTGTGCACCACCAGGAAGTCGTGGTTCGGACCGGACGACTGAGGATGCGAGTTGCGGGGGGACGGCGCGCCGTGGGTGGCCCACCGCGTGTGCGCAATGCCGACGTGGCGGGGGAACGCGCGGCTCATATCCAGATTCGAATCCGCCGCGTCTATCCAGAGGGTCATTTGGAAAGGCGGGAGGCCAGAAAACGGGTGGGGGAGGAGGAGGGGAAGAAAAAATGGAGAAAGTCGAAGGAGAGGGGTTGGATTGTAAAGAGGGAGAAGAGAGGGGTAGGAAGGCAACTGCGTCGATTCGTTTCTCTTTCACTCGTACAACAAGCAGTTACAGACGAAGCGCAGTGGCTTAACTGTTCAGTGCATTATGGAACCAAGTTGATTACAACAATCGTACCTTGTCGAACTTTCTTCACAAGGTTAGCGATCTTCCCCTTCTGTCGGAACACCAGCGGCTCAGCGACTTTACGTTCCGATGAAGTAACATTCGTGATGTTCGCAAGCGATTTTGCAGAAGCTTCGGTTCCGTTTATCTCTGCTAACGTGGCAATGAGAGCTTCTGAGTCAGCATCGGCGTCAACGCTGATTCCAGCGGAATCGTAGCCTCGATACTCGAGCCTTCTCAGGCCGTTAAAAAGTATCTCGAGGATTTCGGAGCGCTGCTTGGGACACTCATAGTTCAAGTACGCGAAGATGCCACACATTTTGATTAAACAAAAATAAGTCAGGGGAGCGAAGACTTTAAGGCTTGCGTTGCTAAGTGTCTACTTCTTGGCGACGAGAGGAAGAAGAGGCCAACCTCACTACACCATCCCGTATGCGTTGAAAATCGCGAGACGACGACGACCTTCAAAACATCCCGTCTATCTGCAGAAGCTGGTTGTTTTCTTGATAGCACGATCCAGAACTAGACGCAGCGGCACGATGACGCGACAGGTCCGCGGTGAGCAACCTCGTCGTTGTTTCTTGAATATACGGAAAAGCACGTTCTGAGATAAGTCTGCTGCTCAAACCACCTGGACACCGTGTTTGTACGGCTCTTCTGTGTCCATTCAGCTTCACACTCAAGAACTCGGCAGTCTGTAAAATATAACACAGCACGGATAAGTTGCACTGCAGGATGAGACTGGTCAAGATAGCTGATCCACAGCAGTACGCACCACAGCTTCCAACAACTTCTTGACCCCGTTTTTTGGTTGGGGGAGGCTCGCTCTGGTACGAAACAAATGCTGCTCGCTTAGCCTGCATCAATGGCCGCGATTAACAAAATGGCGGCAGATCAGAGATCGCAAGATGCGCCGTCCAGGGCGATAAGCGCTTCTGCCCTAGAACTTAGCATGCGCCATTCTGCACTGGAAACGGACTTCTGTGAAGCCTGCTGCAGGAGTCTTCAGTACAGTATGTCTCATCCTTCCCCAGTGCTGACCTGAAGTGCACAGGAAAGTAAACAGACCGGAAGGGATTGCTGCAAATGGTCCACGTTGTGCCGTAGCGCGTTACCACAGAGTACCACTGTTCTTGACAGAATACCGCTCTAAAAAGCCTAAAACCCTGTTCAAACCCCCGCTTCAAACACTCTCCAGAACACGGCTGGCACTTGGGAGCCGCAGTGGCCGTTTTTCGCCCACACAGATAAGCGGCGGGAAGGCAAAAGCGGGGAAGGCGCAACCAGGGTGACGCTGTTATGGTAGTTCCCGCTGGAAGGTTTGTGTTACATACAATAGCTTCGGAATATTGATCATTACATCAGCTATATTCATACTCATTAAGTCGGGAGGATATATAATATATTTGCTGCTTTGATTGAAGTGAATCAGTGACAAGGTTCAGTCCAGAATTTGTACCCACCATGGAGTAAACAAACGCGTACCTACTATGCGTTAGAGAAGGAATTTTCTACCACATCTAGTTATCAGTGCTTGCAACAGGAAGTTCACCTGGAATTCTATATAAGTTACATGCACTAGATACTTGCAGTATGATTCCAAGCTGGCTTATTACACAACAATTCAGTCATCACACCATTCAAACCACCCCCCCGCCACCCCCCCCCCCCCCCCCCCCCCCCACCATTCAAATCCCACCACTCACTCTCACCACCCACTCCCTCACACGACTCGTTCACCCTCGTCTCTGTCACCTCTCATTCTCACCACTCAAAATAGATCCCTCTCACCACTCTCACCCTCGCCGCTCTCACCACTCACGAACTCGTGCCACTCACTCTGGTCAGTGATATGAGAAAGACAGATTTACATGGGATCGTGTGCACGCGCACGCGTGCATTGTAGGGAGTAAAACACATTTATAGGGTTGCTATTTGTACTGCTCCCATCCCTAATGCATTCATTCCGCTGTTCAATCTTTGAGAGCACGCACACTGCACACATGCACACATGCGCAAGTGCAAACATGCATACTTGGTGTACTCATGCATGCACTGTTGCACTCCTTGCGACTCTCGTCACTCACTGACACTCACCACTCTCCCACCATCCACTCTCACTGCACTCTCACCACTCACTCCCTGTCCACTCTCATTCCTCAATCTCTACACTTGCACCACTCACTCCCTCCACCGCTGAATCCCACCACTCACCTGCAAATTCCATTCACCACTCTTCACCTTTGAATCCCACCACTCAATCTGACGATTCACTCTCACCACTCACTTTACCTCGCCACTCCCATCCCTCCACCACTCACCATTCTGACCACTCACTCTCACAGCTCAGTCTCAAAATTCTCTCACAATTGCCTCCACTCACCACTCTAATCACTCACCCTCACCACTCCCTCACCAAAAGTCACCACCCACTCTCACTGCACTCTCACCACTCATTAGAATTCACCACTCTCTCACCACCCGCTCTCACCACTCACTGAAAATGATATCTCTCTCACCACCCACTGTCACTTCACTGCACTCTCACCACTCACTCCGTCTCACCACCTCACCACACTGCTCCACCACTCACTGTAACCACTCACTCTCTCCACACATTGACACCACACTCTTGCTACTCTGGCCACTCAATCTCACTACACTCTCACCACTCCAACCTCACCACTCTAACCACTCATCCTCACCACACTCTCTGCTCTCACTCTCACCACACACTCACATCTTAATTTGAACATTCAAAATGGCTGCTTGCATGCAACAGGTGGCATCAGTGCCATACGGCTCATCATATGCCACCTACCAAGTACGAGCATCATGCTCTCATGCAACAGGTGGCATCAGTGCCATACGGCTCATCATATGCCACCTACCAAGTACGAGCATCATGCTCTAATGCAACAGGTGGCATCAGTGCCATACGGCTCATCATATGCCACCAACCTAGCATGAGCATCATGCTCACCCACCCAAGGGGACTCAGCCCCTTTCACTTGCTCTCACGCACTCCCCGAAATCGCACGGAGAACGAGATGGTGAGTCAGCGACATGTTGCCTCCGTGCTTTTGCTCGTCTCCCTCCCCAATTTGATATTTTCCCATTCAGCGACTTTGTCGCCTCGGATCGGAACAAACCTGCAACATGCAGTCGTCATCACGTCAGACGCGCCACTGAACAACCTCGCGTGCGCTAAAATGAAAGCATGCTACACAAACTAAAAAAAAATCGGATACGTGGAAAAAGCACTCGCACTCAGACGTACCTTGCATACGGAAATCGCCATCCTCGCACTTGTTCTTTCGTAGTCAAAGTTTCCAGGCTTCACGCGCAATTTCCTCTTCCGACACGCCATTTCCTCTTCCCGACACGCGATTTCCTCTTCCGGTTAACGCAGCTTCTACATTAAGCCAGGCCTGGAGCAGAATGAAATGGGATTTCCTAACGGCTCGCCTTTTCGCAGTCGCAGGAGCTCTAAGAAAACGAGCAGAAGAAGCTTGAGCGAGAGAAATGAGGAAGTGAGAGCAAGAGGCGAAAGTGCTGTGAAATCCGAAGCTCAGGCGAGAATGAGGCAAGAGACGACGGTGACGCTGGAATGAGGCGGAGGGGTCACCAATTGCCTCTCCTCTCCTTTCCTCACAACAAACCTCTTCAGATCTACCGTCCAGAATCACTGATTTGTCTGAAACGTGCTGGCTAACCCAGATCGCAGCCGTCGGTTCGGACCTTTTGCGTGTTTCAACACGACAATCCTAGCCATTTCCTCATTGGCGTACAGATTTACCAGCTCCGTTGGGTTTGCGACGAACAGCGACGACGACTGCAAATGGTTTGTCCGGTCAGGCCCAAATTGCAGAGCGCGCGGGGCAAGCTTACTAAAGTTGATCAGAGTGGTGTTGTGGGGGTTGTTTGGTTGCGAATTGTGGTTACGAGAAGTGCGATGCTGTGTGATTGGCCAGCAGTTTTTTTGTCCAATGGGAGAGAATGAAACACCAAGAATATTGTGAGTGCAATTTGGGACTTCGACAACCAAATCGAGTTGCCCTGGGGTTTGCTGAGTCAGCGAAAGCCTAGCGCGAAGCTGGGCGAAACTGACGAGCCCAACTTCAAAAAAGTCAACGTTCCTCTCTCGATACCCCAAGGGCAACCTTACTAAGGTTGAACAATTTGGGCCTTGAGTTTGTCCATGACAGGGAGGTTCGAGATTTCACATCGCTAGCTGGTTGAGAATCGTCCGCGTGGTACATAAATCTGCCGGTCAGTGAAGGGAAAATAAAAATGCCAAGTGTACGCCGTTCGCTTGCCCCCTCCTTTCACCTCAGCGGCTACACAAGACGAACGACACCGACTTTATTCAGCGTGATTCCGTTGACAAAGGCGGGAGCTGCGGGATTTCGCTGGTGAACGTTGGACTCAATGACCTAGGAACCGTCGATTGTTTTCTGATCTGGAGACGCAGAATGATCGTGTCAGTTTGGAACGCGGCAAGCCCAATGGTTTGAATTCGAAGCTAAGCACTAGGAGGGAAGTGAATCCTAGCCGTTGATACTGGTTCTAGGCAAGCAGCTGCGGTTGAGATCTGGGATTCTGAGACCATACACCCTCTGACGTTGGTGCTTCGATGGGCGAAGATGGCGAGACATCTCTGCTCCGCAATTGCTGTTACTCGTCGTTGACTTGGCGAAGAACTGATCCCCTGACACTCGCTTGTTCCACCAATCCGAGAAGAGATGTTCGGGCCAAGAAAACATCGGAGGTTGTGCAGAGCAGGTACACCAACCCCATGGTAGAATATGATTATCAAACACTGAGAAAAGCACTCTAAATAAATCTGCTGTATCGAAGCTTCCATAACGAAGATACAAACCACTCTCAGGATTGACATTTGTTGGACTACTAACTTCCATCAGCAGCTCCGATCGACATTCGCCTTTGTCTCAATCCTCTTTTTATTGATTTGATCATCACTATGGCCTTGGAAACTGTCATCGAGTGTCTGAGGAAGGCATGGTTGACCAAAGCGCTGAAGAACTTCCACAAGAAGCTGGCGTAGGCAACAGCACGCGAGATCTAATCTCGCAATTGTTGAATCAGACTCAAAGCGCTATGGAAGGTCTGCTGCCTGACATTGAGTAAGTGCCATCTGGCGTCATGTCAAGCACCAAGAATTTTCACTGCCAATTTGACGACTAACATGTGCGTTAACTCTTTCAGTTCTCTCAATAACGAAGGAATTGACATCGGCAGAGAGCTCGAACGAATTAAACAAGATACTCTTGCCACACAAAGCAAGCTGCAAGAAGATCGCAAAAACGTCCAGGATGCCGTCCAGCGAGTTTTGGATCTGCTGCACTGGTAGACGAATTTATAGTTTTGGAAGATTAACGCTGTACATTATCTCTTCAAATAAAGCTTTTCAGACGTTTCGACCTATTATGGAAGTACATTATGCACAATTCTAAGGCTACGGAGGAAAATCCACTGACTGGTCTTGTCAGTGAAGAAGCATCAGTGGGTACTCATCTCACTGACTGGTCATGTCAGTAAGAAGCACCAGTGGGTTATGGTTATGGAATCAGTGAAGAAGCATCACGGCCGTTGGCTATGGTTATGGAATCTATCGGCTGTCAGCAGCTATTCCACAAGGCCTCAGTTAGTAAACGAGGGGCTGCAAGGCACAAGCGGACACTAGTTTCTGTATCCTCTCAAGCTCGTCAGAGTCAGCCTTACTTTCAATTTCCATTGCCAAGGAAGAATCTCCTCCTACCTTACCATAGACGTCGTCTGAAACCGGAACCAGTTGCCTCGGCGATCCTGCTGCGGTTATGTCAACGTTGCTGAGCCTCACATTAGTACAAGGTACTGTCTTGCTGCAACGAAAAACAGCACCCTCGTCTCCAATGGTTGTGCCACGGATGTTCGAGAATGAAACGCCCGAGATAGCGACGTTTTTGGACTTTACTGAGCTTCGCGAGAGCAAGCTCCCTCCATTGTAGAACTGCAAGTTGAAGGAGCCACAGGAATCACTGTCAATGCTGTACAGTGAGACGAAGTTGGCATAAGCAGATCAAAAGCAGATAGTTCACTTACCTGATCCAGAACCAGTGGGTACCGAACCCCCTCCATTGTAATGTCCTCATACGCAATGTTAGTCGCTGCACCAGTTCCACCTTGGAAAGTCTTTATGCGTAGGCCTATCTTCGTGTTGAAGAACCGGACGGACTTCACAGTCACGTCTGAAACGCAGGAGAGTGTTGATATCTTGCCACTGCCAAGTGCTCCAATTCTGCGCATTATTGCGATAGAAGGAAAGTGAGGAACACCATGACACTGGAATACAACAATTCCACGACCATACACGGTGGTGTGATTGAGGTATCCAGCATTGGGGTACGGGTGACATACGATATTCCATGTCCGCTGAAGGCGGTAATGTTTGAGATGCTGACTCCTCTCGCGCCGTCCCACAGAACAATGTTGTCATCACCTGCATTGGAACAGACAATAATGATATTCAGGATCGTGTGGTTTATGCTACGTGTACTTACAAAGGCATCAGATGTTCAAAACTTATTCAACCACTTACCGCCCGCCAGGATGCAGTCCCGTATATCAACATTTGTTGACACGGATACATGAATCCCGTCCGTGTTTCTGCTCTCTGCAGGGGTGTTTGTCTTGAAGTCAAAGATCCTCACTCCCACGCAGCGAGTAACTTGCAGGTGGAAAAATGGTGCATTCCTGTGATACGGCGGGCCATTGACATGAGTCAGATTGCATAGTACTGCTGAGCGTGATCGTGTGGTAGATGAGGAAGTAAATGATGCGAAGGATAGGGAACCAGCAAGACTTACTGAAGGGTGATGCCGCTAATGCTCGTGCCGTTGCACATGTAGAAATACAGCAGCACTGGTCGGTCGCCTCCTTTCTCCCAGAACGACTCCCCTTGCCCGTCAATAAACCCCGAGCCGAACACCGTCAGGTTCGTGATCATCCCAAATTGAAGAAACGCGAAAATGCCCTTTCTGGATGACGACGGATACCTAGAGAGCTTCTCAGGTGCCGTTATGTTCCCGTCAATCTGGACATTCACTCCTCCTGGCCCGCAAGGCCCGATCAGCTGAATAGGCGTGAGGTAGAAGGTGTATCCACTTGGAACGAGCATCGTTGCAGGGGCGGTGCCGTCATCTGCAGCAAGAGACGCGTTGCACGCTGCTGCGAACGCGGCCAAAAAACTATCGGAATCGTCTGACTCTCCGTTTCCCTTGGCTCCAAAACTCCGCACGCTGTAAATCGTGCCAGTGGGACGCGGAGCGGGAAAGCTACTGGTTACCTGGTTACCAGCACCGGGCTGCGGGAAAGCAGGTTGAATCCCGTTGCCATTTCCCGGAGCGCCACTTGTGATATCCACGTTCACCCCAGTCGGGGCACTCACTACCGCGGATGGATTCGTGACGAAGACAGCGGGATCGGGGTCCTGCATGGAGAAAATCACGGGCTTTTTGGGAGTGAAGAACGGATTGCCGGAGTCGAAACTCGGGTCCGCTTCGGGGAGCAAGTCCGGAGTATCCAGAACGTACGGCGTGGGGGAAGCTTCGGAGGAGAAGTCTGTGGCTGACGTGCTTCTTTCCGGCCAGAATGTGGGCTCGTCTCGAGAGGACGACTTGAGGAGCCGGGGATAGAAGCGGGAAGAGTGGATATGGCTGTCCGGCTCGACGAGAGGTATTTGGGAAAAGCCTCCTCGGATGAGCTTCGAACGCTTACTGTCGTATTGATGGGTTGTCGATGTGGCAGCGGACGATTGCGCGGAGAGAAGGCAGACATGATGCATCAGTAGGGAGAGAGCTGTTCCGAGGAGGAAAAAGGAAAGGCGAGGGAGTGCGCTGCAGATGTGTGGCCGGGGAATTTCGAGATGGCTAATAGGCGTCATAGCGCTGTACAGGATGTAAGTGTAAAGCAAAAGATGCGCAGTCTGTTTTGCCTGTAAGGCTGTTCCCAGCACGGGCGGTCTTCGAAATACGCACTTGGTTTAACGACTTTCTGGTTCTGTAGGAAATACGCTCACGATAAACGATCACAATGGCAGTACGCCAACGAAGGACCAGGGCTGTTGCAGCACGGGATTGTTAGGTTAGTGGCCACTGAGCACAGAGATGACTTTGTAAGGCAGTACCGAAAGAACTATGATCCAGAACATGAACCTCACGCATCGTGTCGGAAACCACCTCGTGCTAAACTCGGCAAATAACTATAATGTGCCATTTTACGGAATTCCTTGAAGAGGCTGCTGGAACTATGGAGAGAACAAACCACAGTGGAAGAGCATATGAGCTGTTGAATTGGGTCTTGATTCTTGCCGCCTCTTTGATTTGGTTGAGAGCTCTCTCTGCAGCACCCTCCCCGTCTCCACTTCCTGATCCAATTTCTGGGGGAAAATGTGCGACTCGGCTAGCTGGAATTTGTGAGATTGTTGCGGCTCGGGAGAGAGCGAAGGTGCCGCGAAATTAGTCGAAACGGTCAAATTAGGAAGAAGCGTGTACATGCCGACTGCTAAAACTGTTGTAGGTATACAGAAGTTTATATCATGGTATTATGGAAGCAACATAGGAGCCACGTTGTGAAGCCCCATGCAAAAAAGTCACTCAACCAGGACAGCGAGAATACTAATGGTTATAAAATTATCTCATGACGTTATTTCCACACGCAATCACATTTAGCATACAGTCCCAGTACTGCAGATTAGACTGAAAAGCATAGCACATCATGCACATGAGAAAGGGAACAAGTTGCTTCCCAACACTGTTAAAACCTTTCTGTTTCCTTGCCAAAAACCATGCTGACCTCGGGCTTTAAGTAATGACTGGAAAAGAGCTTGATAGAGCATGTGCTCATAGGTTAATTAATGAAGTTACAATACCGTAGTTTTACTCTGGTTGGCTGCATCATGCTGCAATGCCGGTCCATGTTGCAATCATTGCACTGTCCATGATCTCTTGAGCCTCTTCATCAGTCTGCCATGCCAAGCAAGTGATTCACAAGACACACCACAACGAGCACATGGTTAAACAATTACACGATTGTACGGTATACGCATCTTTGCACACACATTAAACACACACATATTTGGTACATGCACACATATGCATGCACCCACATACACACATGCGCACTCACTCTGACCGACTCACAACAAAGCAGATAAAACCCCAAATTGTCACGACTCACACCCCTTCTCCTTCATCCCATACCCCTCACCCCGCCACCCTCACCTCGCACTGTTCTCGGACAGAAGCAGCATCGGGAAGGCTCCACCCCCAAAGCCGCTCACTCACCCTCACCGCCCGCATTCTCAGCTGCCCCTGCTGCCCCCACTGCCCCCCCCACTGCCCCCACTGCCCCCCTTGCTGCCCCTCTTGCTGCCAGCCAAAGCGCTTGTGAGCATAGAGAAGCAAGCGTGCAATGTATCGTGCATTGTCTCTCCTCCTGGGCCACCGCCAATAGATGTGCGCCGCCATGCGCGCTGCAACGGCCAGGATTAGATCCCCGATGTCCTTCTCGCGCGGATCGACGGTGGAGATCAGGCGCTCGATCCAGGCCCAGGCTGAGAGGAGGGAGGAGGGCGAGCGGTGGAGGGAGGGTGTGAGGGGGAGAGGGGAGGAGGAGGAGGAGGAGGAGGAGGAGGAGGAGGAGGAGGAGGAGGAGGAGGAGGAGGAGGAGGAGGAGGAGGTGGTGGTGGTAGTGGTGGGTGCAGAGAGGGCTGCATGCGGTTGCTTGTTGGAGGAACGGGAGAAGGAAGCTGAGGAGGTGGAGGAGGAGGAGGTGGAAGCCGAGGTGGGGAAAAGCGAGTAGGAGAGGGAGCAAGGCGAGGAGGCTCGGGGGGTGGATTCGAGGTAAACGGGACCGGGCGAGGTGAGGGTGATGAGCAGCCCTTCCAGCCCCCAGTCGAACACCTCCAGCATCTGCTGCTCCGGTATGGCCCCGTCTGGCGTCACTGCCTGTGAAGTTGGAAGGGCGGGAGGGAACAGGCAGGGATACCAGACAGAGCGAATCGGGATTGTGAGGGGGTCCAGGAAAGGTGAGCGTGACAAATGTGGATGGCCCCAGACGCCAGTAGAGCACTTTCACAAATCTTCTGCTCTGGATGGCCTTGTCTGGATGGCCTTGTCTGGATGGCCTTGTCTGGATGGCCTTGTCTGGATGGCCTTGTCTGGATGGCCTTGTCTGGATGGCCTTGTCTGGATGGCCTTATCTGGATGGCCTTGTCTGGATGGCCTTGTCTGGATGGCCTTGTCTGGGGTCACTGCCTGCAGGGTGGGAGGGAAGGAGTTGAGAGGACGGAAATGGAGGAAGTGGAGTGTGGTGGATGTGACCCATCCATGCCCCATTGGCCAAGCTTTGTCAAAAGGCAAGGCTCACCTTGAATGTCCCTTTGACTGCTTTCCCCCACATGACAGGCAGTGCCTTGTGCGCCAACACGCTTTCCCTCTCCAGCAGCCCCCCCACTGCCTTCCACTGCGCCCACCCCACCTCCACGCCTGGGAAGCTCACTTCCGCCGCCCACCGAACCAGCGCCGCCTCCCGAACCTGCCGCTGCCGAGCCTCCCGATCAGCCTCGGCCGGCAGGCCGTCCGGGCCTTCTGCCACTGCCGAGCCTAGCGGAGAGGGTCGGGGAGCGATGCGGCCGTTTTGTGCGTGCAGGGAGAAAGGCGGAGGGCGGGACGTGGTGGCAGTAGCGGTGGAAAAGGCAAGAGAGGTGGAGGTACGAGAGGTAGAGGCTGAAGAGGAGGACAAGGAGGATTTTGGGAAAACGGTGAAGGGCGGGAGGGACGGCGGTGGTTGTTGGGGAGAGGAGGATTCGCGTGAATGTATGGTGGAGGTTTTAGTGAATGAGAAGCTCGCCTCGCCTTGCTCCTCTTCCTCATCTTGCTTTTCCTCCCCCTCCTCCTCACTCTCCTCCTCGCACACCTCTCCATCAATCCTCTCACCCTCACTCTTCTTGTCAACCCGACTGCCCGCCTCCTCTCCTTCCAAAGCCGCATTCAGAGCCCCCGGCCCACTCACTGCTCGCTGCCCATGCAAAGCCCCGTCTGCACCTCCTTCCTTCACCCCCTCTTCACATCCCCCTCTTCCTTCAGCCCCTGCATCCACAGCCCCCTGTCCTTCCCGAACCTCCTTCACACCCTCCTCCTCTACACCGCCTTCCTCCTCACCCCGTCGCTCCAGCACCGCCTTCAGAGCGCTTTCCTTGGTTGTGAAGAAGCTCGCAATCGCCCGCCCCTCGCCCGTCTCTTCTGCCCTGCTGCTCCCATCACCCGATCGCACACTCAAGCTGCGAAACGACTTGTGAGTTGACTCGAAAGTCTCCCCAGTCTCCGCTGCCCTGCTGCCATCGCACTGCCTCACACTCTTGCTGCGGAACGGCCTCACACTCTTCCCATCGCGATTTACCGCGCTGCTCCCATAGTACTGCCCGGCATAGATGATAACGTTCTCACCGTCACCGTCGCTTTCCTTCCCCTCTTCCTCTCTACCTGTCTCCCTCTCGCCCTCCCGGTCAACCTCCCCCTTGCTCCCCTCCTCCCCTTTCTCTTCGTCCCCCTTCCCTTCTGTTCCGTTCGCTTTCCCCTCCTCCCCTTTCCCCTCCGCCCCTTTCCCTTCCACACCGTCCGCCCCTTTCTCCTCCTTCCCCTCCCCATCCCCGTCCCTTTCCCCTTCCCCATCTCCCTCCCCCTCCCCTTCCCCTTCCACCTCCATTCGTTCCCCCTCGGTCCCTCCCCTCTCCACCCCCTCCTCCCCTTTCTCCTCCCCTTTCTCCTCTCCTTTCTCCTCCCCTTTCTCCTTCCCTTTCTCCTCCCTTTTCTCCTCCCTTTTCTCCTCCCCTTTCTCCTCTCCCTCCCCCTCCCCCCCCCCCCCTCCCCATCCAAATCCCCCTTTTCCCCCTCCTCCCCATCCCCCTCCTCCTCCTCCTCCTCCTCCTCCTCCTCCTCCTCCTCCTCCTCCTCCTCCTCCTCCTCCTCCTCCTCCTCCTCCTCCTCCTCCTCCTCCTCCTCCTCCTCAGCCACCACCAGCAGAGGCTCAATGGCCAGTCTGAGCACGAAGCGGGCGCACAGGGCGCTCATCTCGCCTGCGCGCTCCTGCTCCTCACGAGAGGGTGGTGCACCGAACACTCGACTCAGCTGCAGAAACCCGTTTGCTAGCTCGTATGCCCATGGGTAACTCACTCCCCTCCTTGCTGCTCCCCCTGCTCCCCCTGCTCCTGCTGCCTCTCCTCCTGCTCTCAGTGCTCCTCCTCCTGTTCCTACTCCAGCCCCCCAGCCCCCTCCCACTCCCATTCCTGTCCCCCCAGCAGCAGCGCCCGCCCCTCCTCCCCCAAGGCCCACATCCACGCCGCCCCACTCCCTGCCACACCCCAGCGCCCTACTCCTCGCCTCAGCAGCAGCACTGGCAGCAGCAGCCGCCCGCAGAGGCTCCAAAAACGCCGCCCCGAACGCCATCGCATACTGCCACCGCACGCCGCCCGACGGCGCGTGCGTCAGTCCAAAATGCGCCGCCCCGAGCAGCCGGTGGATCCGCTGCGGCACGGGATCCGTTCCATTAGGCACCATCGCCGCCCGGACCGTATCTGCTAAAGTATCCAAATCATCATAAGCGACAGCGGCGGCCCTAAGAGAGATTCTTATAGCCGCCTCCATACACCCCATCTCGTCTGCTCTATCGGCTAAAAGCCACAGGTCCTCCTGGGTTAAATGGGGTAGTTCCGCAACTTCCCCGGCCAAAACTAGGGCGAGAATCCCCGGGCCGAGCGCGTGCGTGGTGAGGAGGGAATCAAGCTGGCGCAGACGGTGCGAGTAGGAACTGCATTGGGTGGTGGTAGGGGCTTTGGTGGGAGCATAGGGAGAGGTGCTGGGAGGGGTGGGAGCGAGGCCAGGCCGAGCAGCAGTGGTGGGGGCATGGAGAATGGAACGAACGAGCGCTAGCTCTGCCAGCTCTGTGAGTCGCGTGGGGCCAAAGAAGCCTACAGCAGAGGAGGAAGAGACAGATGCAGAGGAAGCAAAGTCCCCCCCACCAGCAGTGGCGCGGCGCATGGGGGCAGCGGCATGAGAGACAGACATGCTTCCCGCCCGACCCACACCCGGGCCTATCGTCCCGTGCCTCCTCCACAGCCTCGACGGATCCCCCATGCCGCCCTCCTCCTCCGCACCGTCCCCTCCTGCCCCCCGCTCGTCCCCCAGGAACAAGGCGCCAATCTTGTTGCGGAAGCCAATGGACGGCTGGCGCTGGAAAGGCAACGCACCCCCCTGCCACGACGGCTGCCGCTGAAACAAAGCACTGTCTCCCCCACCGCCACCCCAGGATGGCTGCCGGTACAGCGAGGAGCGAGCAGCTCCAGCAGAAGCAGCAGCAGCAGCAGGAGGCTTGCCTGTCTCCAAGGCAGCAGGCTTGCCGGAGGCCCAGGAGGGCTGGCGCTGGAAGAGAGGCGGGTTGAGTCCTTGCCCGTTGAGCAGTGGCGACGTGCTGCCCCCACCTGCTGCGCTGCTTCTCGTGCCCTTGCCACCTGACACACTCCCTGCCGCACTCTCCTCGTCGTCCCGGAACCCCTTTATCACTGTCACCCTCCCTGTTGGCGTTGCCACGCTTCCATACCCCTCCATACAATACCCCTCCACCCCTGCAACCACCCCATTGACGCCCCCCATTCCCCCCATTCCCCCCACTCCCTCCACGAGCCCCTCTAAATACTCGCTGGCTGTGGGTGGTCTTAATCTTAATCGGCATTTGAGAGCCAAGGCGTCTACTAGGTCAAGCAGGCACTGCAGCACGAACATACGGCACTCCCGAGCCTCCATCTCCCGTTCTACAGCTTCCCGAGCCTCCGCCGCAGCTTCGGAATCCGAACCATCATCACCATCAGCATCAGCTTCAGCAGCGTTGTCACTGGTTCTCACTCCCTCTCTCCCTTCCTCCCCCTCCTCCTCTTCATCCTCCTCCTCGTCCCCCAACAACCCTCCTCTCCCCCCCACACCACCAACCCCACCATCCCACCCTCCTCCTCCTCCTCTCCCTCCTCCCGCCGCCGCTGCCGCTGCCGCCCTCGCAGCCGCCGCTGCTGCCGCTGCCCCACCTCCTCTCCGTCTCCCCCTCCCCCTCCCTCGCCTCACCCACTCCCCCGCCTCCCGCTCCTCCCTGCAAAGCCAGTCCAGGAGCCTCAGCACACACACAGCGGCACTCACAGGCACACAATTAGACGCTGCTGCTGCCAACCCCAGCACTCGAACCACATCAGTGTGCTGTAACGGAGGAGGCGGGGGAGGGGGCGAGGGCGTGGGGGTGCCTGCAGGGCTGCTGCTGGCCGAGTGGTGGGTGGAGTGAGAGGAGGAGTGAGGGAAGGAGTGAGGGTGGGAGAGGGGGTGGGAGTGGGAGTAGGAGAAGGAGCTGCTTCTGAGGCGTTTCAGGATGTCAACTGAAGGGTTGTAGCTGCTACAGCCGAGCCCACTGCCAATCCCCACCTCCCCCATGCCACTGTAGCCTCCAAACCCGCTACCAAACCCGCTTCCGAGGCTATTCCCGAACCCGCTACCGAGGCTAGGCCCGAAGCTGCTGCCCGCGCCGCCGCCGAAGCTGCTGCTCCTGTTGAAGCTTCCTCCGGTGCTGCTGCCGACGCTGCTGCTTCGGAACCCAAACGCACCCCCACCACCACTCCCAACAACACCACCCCTACCAGCACCACCGCCCCCAGATAACACCTCCCCCCATGCGCCCTGCTTGCCGCCCAGAGCGCCCTGCCGCCCATCCAGCAGATCCGCCAGCAGCTGCTCCTGCAGTTGCCGCCCGGCCTCGGCCCTCAGGTCGCCCTCTACCTCTGCCACGTGGACGCCACACGCCCCCCCGTGTGGGGCACACGCTGAGAACGGCGTGCCGCTGCTGCCGCTCGCGCTGTAGCTGGCGCCGTACTCGTTATAAGATCCGAACACGTTATAAGCACTGCACTCGTTATAAGCGCCGTACTCGTTGAGATTGTAGTACGTGCTTTCGTCGCTCGACCCATTGCTGTCCGAGCTCCAGCTGTCCTCGTTACAGAGGGCTCCGTTAGGAAGCTTTTCAAAATCAAACCTTACAGTGTCACTAGAGAAATCCTCGTCATAGAGGGACCCATTACAGTGGTTGGCAGTGGCAGTGGCAGTAGCAGCTACAGTGTCTAGTTCTGGGCCGGAGCACTCACTAACAGACAGCCGAGCATCCAAACCAACTGCTGCCACTCCATTTCCTGCCTTGTGCCGTCGTTTCTTCTGCCAAAGCCTCTTGTGCCGTACCTCCCTCTTCCCATCCCTCTCCCTCACCTCCCCATTCCGCCCCCCACCTTCCCGATAATCAGCGCCAGAACCTTCCTTGAAGCTTCCAGAATCCTGCCCGCTTTCCCCCTTTCCTCCCCTTCTTCCTCTTCCTCCCCGCCTGCCCCTTCTCGCTCTCCCCTGGTCCCGCCCACTAGTCAAATCGATACTCTCCATTCCCCCCTCCGCCTCCCCTCTCCCCCCTTTACCTCCCTCCTCATCCCCCAAGTCAACTGAGAAAAACGTCCCTTCTTCCAAGGGTTTCTTGCAACTTAACCCATCCAATTGCACCTCCAGCACGGAATTACCCCCCAAAACCCTCTCCTTTCCTTCTTTGCTCAACACTCCCCCATCCTTCCCCGCACCTCCCCCTGTCCCCCCACCATCCTGCTCTTTCCGCCTCATCCTCTCCCTCCGCTTCTTCAGACTCCGCAGCCCCCCTTCCGCGCCCTTCCGTCCCCACTGCCCGGCACCCCTCCCCAGCTTCCCCCCCTGCGCCGCCGAGCCTAATCCCGAGCCTAGCGACGAGGCAGCAGCTTCGGCGCCGTGGCTGGCAGGTTTGGCCCATTGCTTCCAGAATTCGACCCACATCGCCAGCCCCACCACGAACACTTCCTCCACTTTCGCAGCCTCCAGCCCCAGATGCCCCTGCGACGCTGTGCGACTTTCGCCAGGCTTCGCGCGCGCCTCTGATTGGCCGCCGCTCGCGTGCTTGTGCGACAGCGCCTGCCCCAGCGGCAGCGAGCGACTGTGCCCAAGTTTCGGAGATTTCTGCGATGAGCTTCGGGGGAACGGGTGAGGCGGGGGGACCGAACCTGCATTCCCGGTTCGGGAGCTCGCCGGGCCAAACCCGGACCTAGTGCTGGTGCTTCGGGTAAACCGTTGACTAATACTCCCGATCCCCGCAATGCTCCGCCCGCTTCTTCCGCCCGTTCCCCCAGCGGCCCCCCCTCCGCCCCCCGCGCCGTTATTTGCGCTGCTCACCTCCTTATTCCCCGCCGCCATCGCAGAAGCTTCCGCGATCTTGCTCACCAGCCAGTCGTACTCCGCGCGCGCCAGCTGTCGCATCGCGCCTTCAAGCTGCTCCAGCGCCTCGCGCGTCGCCGCCTCCCGCGCGCGCGCCACGGGCGCCGCCACGAGCCGCCGGCTGGACAGCCGCTTCAGCGGATGCAGCGCCGGCTGCTGCTGCTGCTGCGACGCGACGGATTCGCTCGCAACTGCGCGTGACGCATTTGCAGCGGTTGCGGCGGCTGTAGCGGCTGTAGCAACCCCTTCCCCCGCAGCTGCAGCTACTGCGGATTTGGCGGAATGTTCCCCATTAGTGGGGCAGGAGGGGGACGAACGTCGTCCGGGGAGTTCTGGCGCATCCGCCGCGGTCGCGGAATGTGCCTGGTGGGCGCCGCCGCCGCCTCCTCCGCCGGCATCGCCGGCGCCTTCGCCGCTGCCACCAGCGCCGGTAGCGGGAGCGCCTAGGAATATGGCTTCTATGGAGTCCGGATCGCGGTAGTTGGCATCCGTGGCGCCTACTATTTTCTCGACGTACTGAGTTAAGAGACCCGACACGGCGTCGTGCACGCAGTCGCTGTCGGAGAAGACCGCGCGCACGACGTCCGGATGCCACGTGCGCGGAGTGGTCAGGCGCGGGGAGGGGAACGCGGCGGAAGGGGAGGGCGGAAAGAGCGGCGGAGGGAAGTTGTAGCGGCCGACGGGCGAGGTGGGGGGCGAGTGAGGCCTTTCGAACGTGGAATTCGCCTGCCCCATGATGGTTTCGAGAGTGGTGCTCCTGTAACGGGGATGTGGTGTACTAACAGGGCATACGAGGCATGATTCATGCGGCTCGCAACGGTTCTGGTGTTTGTGGGAACACTATCGTGTAGAAAGCTCTAGGGGTAAGATTCGTTGAGCTGCGATTATCCCACGCGCACTATGTGTCCTAAGCGCTGCGCTGCACCCGAAAATTAGGTAATGTCCCAACCTGCGATCAGTCGCCATGACTCGGGATTGTTAATGTCCTAGCAGATGAAGGAACGGGACGGGATTCCCGTAAGGACGCAGGCTACTAAGCAGAACGAAGCAGCGGGCGATGCGGCACGCGACGGAAAAGAGGGGACGAAAACATAACAGAACTAGCATACGAGCAGTGCTGAAAAAAAGTCGAGTGGGAAAACAGTAGAAAAAATGTGGCAGGGGGAGGCTGAAGTATGATACATCTGTGTCGTCAATCTCTTGGCTTCACAACATATGGACGGACAAGATTGACGGAAGATTCTGGTTTCACGTTTCCTGCAACATGGGGTGATGAAAGTGTTTCGAGGGAGCGAACAGCGCTCTGGTCGACAGGTTTGGGGAAATGTGTCTGGCTCGGTTCAGGCGGGAAAGCGGGTGATTCGCGTGGCGTGTAACGATTGGCTTCCGTCATTTTATGGCTGCTTCGAGGTCACCGAAGCTCGGATAAATATGGTTCGGGTTTTGCTTGTTCTGGCCTGGCCTAGGCGGTCAGGCTGAAAAAGGGCTGGTTCATCATCAGCCGAGCCGAGTCGACATGGAAGTGTGGCGAACAACAGGCCAACTCTGGCCGCAGCGAATGCACGTGCTGGCCTATGGCCGATTCACGTCAGCACAGATTTGATTCGCCCCTCCAAGCCAACACGCGACGCGACCCCCTGCTCAGCAAAAACTTTGTCTGCGATACAGAGATTTGCGATGTAAGCTTCTGGTCCGTCCAGTAGACTTCGATACACTGAACTTTCTGTCAGTTAAAACGTTTTCGTAACAACATGTGTGTCTGCACACGAAATCACAAGGCACACACCACTTGTGACCTAAATAAAATCGTCCCAGCCGTAGCGCACTAGTGCTTGCACCTTGCACCAAGGCTGGGCCCATCGTCTCTTTCCGCGCCTCCACAGCCCGGATTCCGATCTCCACTCCCACGCCGTTCGCTCGTCGTCACAACACCCTAGAGACTCCCTGGCCTGTTGCTCCTCCTCGCCTTTCCTCTCACTCCCGCTCCACCCATCGCCTCCGTGGTCCACTCTCCGTATAATCACTCTCCCCCTTCCATCATCTCGCCCGATAAATTCACCCCGTTACCATGAACAAGGCGACGATCCTGGAGCTGGCGAAGGGGTTCCGCGGGCGAGCGAAGAACTGCATTCGCGCCGCGAAGCCGCGCGTGGAGAAGGCGCTGACGTACGCGTACCGCGACCGGCGCACGAAGAAGCGCGACATGCGCGGACTTGCGATCGAACGCGTCAACGCGGGCGCGCGGCAATACGGGGTGAGTGAAAGTACGGGGCGAGTGAGGCACGCGATTGAGTGAGTGATTAGAGATGCATGATGGCTGGGGTGCTTTTTTCCATGTAACGAAATCCACCCCCTCAATATATCCACGAATCCACGCACCCCTCCATCCCCGTTACAGCACAGCACACATAGTCAACACGCAACGCACCTATAATGCGACATTCCCCTTCCCCCTTTTTCATTTCCCGTTTTTAAGCAACTTCCTCCATCTCCACAGTTCTGCTGTACATCCTTGGCCCTCACAACACCTGCGCCCTCGTTTTCCCCTTCACGTTCTCCCTCCCTCGCTTCCCCACTTCCCTCCTCCCCTTTAACACTCTTCCCCCCCCCTTCCTCGTTCTCCCCTTCCAACCACCCCCATCTTCCCAACACGCCCGTCCATCCATCCTCGCTACAAGCAGGTGCGGTACAGTGAGATGGTGCACGGCATGCAGCAGGCCAACGTGCACCTCAACCGCAAGGTGCTCTCAGAGATAGCCGCCTCCGAGCCCTTGTGGTGGTGATGGTGATGAGCATGGATAAGAAAAAGGCACTTCTCACACAACCCCCTCTTCCCTCCCCCCTTTCCCCTCCTTTCCCCCTTTCCCCACCCCGCCTCCCCCCCTCCCCCCCTCTCCTGTTCCTCTCCCTCCCCCACCACCACCAATCCATCCTCTATACAAGCAGGTGCGGTACAGTGAGATGGTGCACGGCATGCAGCAGGCCAACGTGCAGCTCAACCGCAAGGTGCTGTCAGAGATAGCCGCCTCGGAGCCCTTCACCTTCCGTGCCCTCGTTGACCTCGCCCGCCAAACCCTCCACATCCAACGGCCACAAATCCCCATGTGATGTTAGATCAACGGCTGGTACTGCATGGATTCATGCGTGAATCTCTATCATCCACCATTCACTCTCCTCACCAGCCTCTAAGCCCTTCACCTTCCGCTCTGCTCTCCAGGACCTCGCTCAGCAAACCTTAAACCTGAAACCCAAAACCTTGAATACTAGTCAACCACAAATTCACATGTGACGCTCCATCAACGGCCGAAACTGCGTGGGGTGAGATCCGTTATCATCGCAGCATCCCTTCATCTTCCGTGCTGCTAGTGGACACAATTGCCCTTCATCACAGCAGTGCGATGCGATCCCCAGGGTTCAAATCAACGGCTGCAACTGCCCGTGCGCCTCACTCACTCTCTAGTACCAGCATCCATCTCAACCTCACGTTGCTGTCAAGACAGCAGCATTTCATCTGAGCCCTTTGTTGGGCGAGCCTGGCTTAGGGCTCCATAGATTAGGATACCAATAGAGGGACATTGGAATGACTACAGTTCAAGCTTAAGATAGCAAACAAGTACCGTAGGAAATATCTTTCAAATTGTTGCAAATACTGTGGTGGGAGTGCAGTCGCACAAAAATGTATTCAACACTCTCATCTTTCAACACTATACGGTATTGGTGGGCTTGCATGTGTTTGTGTTGTTTTTGGCGACGAAGGCTTAGAATGCGCATGAATCCCTATAGCAGGGCCTAAAATATCAGGGCAAAATACCCCTTCATGTGGGCCGGTTTTTTTCAGTTACCTTGATCAAGGCAGGCTAACCAAGCCCTAAACCCGAAACCTTGGTAGTTACCCTTTCTTCAAATTATTGAGTTTTTTTTACTGTTTCAAAAACAGCGTAGGAGCTTTGTTTCCCTGACTAGAAAGTGTAGCATATAGGTACACTTGTCAAAATGTTATAATACTTATATTGTGTAGGCTGTAGTGGGGTAGCCCATAAGGGGTATAACCCAATTAGGGTTAGTACTTGTACCAACTTTCTGCTCAATGCATCCATTCTTGTTCAGTATTCTGACATGGTTTCAGAGCAGGTCCTGTTCCATGACTTTTTTTTAGGGCCCACCGCATCGTTCCCTGCTCGTAGCGCATCCCCACTAGTCGCGCTGCCCTGCCCTGCCCTGCCCGTCGCGCCGCCCTGCCAGTCGCGCGCCGCCCTGCCCTGCCTGTCGCGCCGCCCTGCTGGCCGCGCGCTACCCTGCCCTGCCCGTCGCGCCGCCCTGCTGCCCGCGCGCCGCCCTTCCCAGCCTGCCACGTCGCCCTGCTGGCCGCCACGTCGCCCTGCCCTGCCCGCGCGCCGCCCTATTGGCCGCCGCGCCGCCCTGCTCTGCTTGCGCGTCGCCCTGCCCTGCCCGCGCGCCGCCCTGCTGCCCGCGCCGCCCTGCTGCGCGTCGCCCTGCTGCCCACCCTGCTGCGCGCCGCCGTGCCCTGCCAGCGCGCCGCCCTGCCCTGCCATTGCGCTGCCCTTCCCTGGCCGCGCGCCGCTCTTCCCTAGCCGTGCGCCACCTCGCCCTGTCCTACAAGCTTCCCTAGTGCTTGCGCGCCGCCCTGCCTGCGTGCTGCCCTGCTGGTCGCGCGCCACCCTGCTCTACCCGCTATGGCTTCTCTCAGTGTTCTCACCTTCGATCATGAGGGCCGTCCGATCCAGTTCGATACGTGGCTCAACGATTTACAGCTGTACCTACTGAGCGATTCTAGAGACAGCGTTTCGTTGTTTGACCACACGTCTAGAGCCTCTCTCGCCCCTCCCGCCACAGCTGGCAGTGCGAATCGCTCACAGTGGCTTACCCGTGACGCTGCTGCTCGCTTAGCCGTTCGCAACCACCTGCCGCTAGCCGAACGCGCTCACTTTGGCCAGCACAAGACTGCTAAGGCCCTGTACGACGCTGTAGTCGCTCGCTACTCTTCCCCTGCCACTGCTGCTCTCGGCTGCCTTATACTGCCCTACCTTTTTCCTGAGCTGTCAGCCTTTACCACAGTCGAGGACCTCATTACCCACCTTTGCACTAGTGACACTCACTACCGCACTGCCCTCCCAGCCGAGTTCCTAGACAAGAACCCGCCCCCGATGTACATCACTCTCTACTTCATAGTCATCCGCCTCCCTGACTCTCTTCGCGCAGTCAGGGACCACTTTCTCGCACTTGACCCCACAGAACTCACTGTCGACCTCCTCAAGAAGCACCTCCTTGCAGCTGAGACTAGCGTAGTCGCTGTAAGTGCTGCTCGTGGCACTCCTCGCACACCCTTCTTTGAGGGGTGTTCCCCCTCCCCCCTTGCCCCCTCCTACGCTTCTGCTGCTGCTGTTGACATCCTTGGTACTGAGGACGTCGGTGCTGCTTCTGCTCTTAATGGGAAGCGCCACAACGGCAAGGGCAAGGGTGGCAGGAGTGGTGGCGGTGGCAGCGGGGGTGGTGGTGGTGGAGGTGGGGGAGGCGGTGGATGTGGCGGAGGTGGTGGCAGCGGTGGGAGTGGTGGCGGGAGTGGGGGCTTTGGTGGCGGCGGTGGTGGCAGCGGTGGGAGTGGGGGTGGTGGTGGTGGCGGTAGTGGGAGTGGTGGCGGCGGCAGTGGTGGCGGTCGGGGTGGAGCTGTTAAGAGGGGAGGTTCTGGCGGTGGCCAGAGGCAGCAGCAGCAGCGTCGGAGCGAGACCCCTACGCCCCAGCAGCTTCGTGAGTGGTTTGCTCAGCGTGGGGTGTCTGGGGGTAGTGTTCGCTGCCCGTATGTCATTCGCACAGGTGACCGCGCTGGTCAGACATGCGGGAAGTTTCACACACACCACCGCTGCTTCTCCCGCCTTGACGACGCTTAGCGCGCAGAGTTTGGCGACGAGGCTGAGCGCCCTCGCTGGTTAGAGCTGCTTAGGTCTGGTGTTGATATCTTTGCTCTTCACTATGATGCTATCCTTGCTGCCATGTATGCCTTGTCTGTTAGTGCGGAGGGTGACTGTTACCAGTGTGTGCCGCCCGGCCCAGGTATAGAGGCTGCTGCTCTAGGTGCTAGTGAGTCTGCTCTCCCTGGTACTGCGCCTGCTGAGGCCTTGCACACCTTCACACTTGACTCAAGTGCTTCCCGCTGTTTCTTTTGTGACAGTTCCACACTCAATCCACTCCCTGCACCTGTTCCAGTCAGACTGGCTGACCCCTTAGGGGGCCCAATTCTTGCACGTCCCTCCACTGTTCTCCCATGTCCAGCGGTTCCGTCCGACTCACTGTCAGGTCTTCACCTCCCCTCGATCTCTACGAACTTGGTGAGTACCGCTGCCCTCCAGGATGCAATGGTCACTACCACCACTCCTGGGGGTCAGCGTGTGTCGATCTGCACGTGTACACGGACGGGCCATCACCTGGCCACGTTCACCCGTCGGCCTGGGTCGAGTCTTTACACACTGACTACTGAGCCTCCTCAGGTAGCTGCGTCTGCTCAGGTGTCCGCGTCAGGTCCGGTAGCAGCCCCCTGCTCGTGTCGCCTCCTGTCGCGCTAGACTCTCCTTTGGCACCACCAACTTGGTCACCCCTCCCTACCACGCCTTCGTGGCATGCACTCCCACCTCCTTGTTTCTGGTCTTCCCAGGTCTCTACCTCCCCTCCCGCCCTCGCCAGCCCCGCCCTGCCTTCCTTGCGTCGAGGGGCGGCAACGCGCCGCTCCTCACTCCTCCTCGTTTCCCCCGATGACTGCTCCCCTGCAGACTCTCCACATGGACGTGTGGGGCCTAGCCTGCGTCAGTGGACAGGACCGCGAGCGCTACTTCCTACTGGTTGTTGATGACTACATGCATTACACCACTGTCTTCCCCTTGCGCAGCAAGGGTGAGGTCCCTGATATCTTGATCCCTTGGATCCGCACAGTCCGTCTCTAGCTCCGTGAGCGGTTCCGTGAGGACCTTCCTGTCCTCCGTCTTCACTCTAATAGAGGTGGTGAGTTCTCCTCCGACCTCTTGTGATACTTTTGTCATGGGGAGGGCATCCTCCATTCGTTCACGCTTCCGGCCTCCCCTCAGCAAAATGGGGTTGCTGAGCGCCGCATTGGCTTAGTCATGGAGGTGGCTCGTACCTCCATGATCCATGCGGTTGCTCCCCATTTTCTGTGGCCGTTTGCGGTGCGGTATGCGGCGCATCAGCTCAACCTTTGGCCCCGTGTCTCCTTGCCGGAGACCTCGCCTACACTGCGTTGGACGGGGGAGGTTGGCGATACGTCGGTGTTCCGGGCCTGGGGATCTTGTGCTTTTGTCCGCGATACCTCCGCCCACGCCATTCCTTGTGTCTTCCTTGGCTTTCCCCCTGACGCGCCTGGCTGGCAGTTTTACCACCCCACCTCGCGCCATGTCCTGCCCTCTCAGGACGTCACGTTTGACAAGTTGGTTCCCTTTTACCGTCTCTTCCCCTACCGCACTACGCCTCTCCCTCCCCGGCCACTCTTCCTCGCACCAGGTCCTCCTCCGGTAGACCCCCTCCTCGCTCAGGGTCCTGCTCCCTCATGTGTGTCCCAGGTATACCCTATCAAGCCTGTCGAGGTAGCTGTCGACTCTGGTGCCGCAGGGGGTGGTGCTACTAGGGGTGCTGCGTCTGGGGGTGCTGAGCCGGCGGGTGCGGGGCCTGGGG